TCGAGGGAGTGAAGCTCGTAGTCACGCTGAGCAGCTATGTGTAACAGAACCCGAAGAGTAGTCATCTTCGGGGTCGGAGCGAAGGTCTGGAAGAAATCCACCCCCTCGCGCTGACTGAAGCCTCTAGCCACATAGCGCGCCTTGAAGACAGGCGGCTCTCCAGGAGGGCGCTTCACCTTGAAGAGCCAGCGGCCATCGACTACGTTCACCCCAGGTGGGGGAACTGCGTCGACAAAGGTGCCGGTGGATCTCCAAGATGCCATCTCCTGCTCCATGGCAGCTATCCACTGTGAGGCCCAGGGTCCCGAAGTCGCCTCAACGTAAGTGCGAGGGGTCAGGATGTCGAAGGCGTCTGGGTCACCCTCAGGGACTAGCAGCATGGAACAGAGATGGGGAGCAGCCTCGGAGAGGAAAGCAAGCTCGAACTGGCGGTCCTCCAGGACGTCACTGCCAAGAGCAGGAGCACCCCCGACAGACGGAGGACAGGGAGGGTCAGAGACCAGAGCTGTGGCGTAGTTAAGGCGGCGGGTAGAGGCGAAGTCAGCGACAGCAGCGACAAGAGCGTCAAGGCACGAGACCGGAACAGACGGGTCGGTAACGAGAGAGGCAAGGACCCGAGGAACAAGGGGACGAGCGGCACGAAGGTAGTCAGACAGCGGGGGGGGTGCAACAACAAGGGAGGACGGAGGAGGCGACGGCAGAAGGGGAGGACGAGACGCGTGGGAACGAAGCAACATAGGGTGGGAGCGCAAGACAGGCGAGGCAGGACGAGCACGGGAGGGATGGTGAGACCAGATGTGCGACGGAGGAGTCGGGTCAGGAGACAGGGGAGGTGACACAGGAGGGGAACGTGGGGGGAGACAGGCCGGGGACGAGTCCGGTGGAGGGAAAATAGGGCCGTAGACAGGAAGAGGAGGAGACGGCCGGGGAGGAACAGACGCAGGGTCGGGGGACGGAAGGCCGAGCAGGCGAAGGGCTGACACCGGCGGGGACTGCTGCTGCGGCCGCGCAACGGCAACACCGGGACCGCAAGCTGCTCCTCGGCTACCACCGGCACTCTCCACACCAGCACCCCCAGAGGGGCCACCCCCAGGGCGACCGGGACGAGCACCCCCAGAGTCAGCGAACGGGGGCCGCGACGGCGGCGGCGGCGGCGGCAGCGACAACGACGGCTGCAGCGGCGGCAGAGGCGGTGGAGGAGGGGACTGGGGAGGGGACACCGGGGGAGGGGCAGCCGGCGAGGACTGCACCGGAAGGCCACCAGAGTCAGAGGACTCCTCAACCGGGTCCGCCGACGGAAGGGGGGTGACGTGGGACACACCAGAGGGGGCGGAACAGGGAGGAGGAGGAGGAGGGGCAGGGACTACCGGGGAAGGAGTGACCAGGAACAGGGGGGGGGTAACCGGGGGACCACGGTGGGGGAAGCGACGGTAGTAGGAAATGGACTCGTCAAAGGTGACGTCGCGAGAGTGAAAGAAGCGGTGAGACGGCGGGTGGTAAAAGTGCCAGTCGGACGCGTCAAGGGGAAAACCGAGGAAGACGCAGGGAAGGGTGCGGGCAGTGAGCTTGTCCGTGCCGGAGGCACGAACGTGAGCAAGACAGCCCCAGACGTGGAACGCAGACACGTCACCAGGAGACCCAGTCCAAAGACGGGTCGGCGAAACCTGCGGCTGCTGAGGGTGCGGCCACAAATTAAGTTGGTGAGAAGCGTAGCGCACAGCGAACGGCCACAGAAAATGGGGTGCACTGGCATGGATCATGGGGGTGCGAGCCACCTCCATGACCAAACCGATGCGTCGCTCAGCGACCCCATTCTGCTGTGGGGAGTCCGGTAGGGTGAACGTCTGGGCGATGCCCTCCGCACGACAAAAGCGACCAAGGACACCTGAGGCAAACTCGCCACCACGGTCTGAGTGAAGACGCAAGACAGGGAGACCGCGGTGGACACGCGCAGAGACAAGCCAGGGTATGAGAGCGTCAGGCACGTCGGCCTTGCGCTCCAAGGGAAAGACTGTGGTGTAACGGGTGAAGTCGTCGACGAGCACAGGGAAGTAGCGCTCTCAACGCGGCCCAGGGACGGGGGCGGGGCCCCAGACGTCCAGGTGCAGGGTCTGCAGCGGCGCGGCGGTAGGGGGAAACGAGGAGGAGTGAGGGGCACGGCGAAGCCGACCCTCGACACAAGGCGTGCAAGGGGGGGCGGGGGAGGAGGGAAACGCGGGGAGAGAATCTGGGAGGCCAAGGACTAGACCGTGCTAGGACATGTGACGCAGACGCGGGAGCGCAGGGTGACCTAGGCGGTGGTGCCAAAGGAGAGTCGGGTGAGTGAGGGACCGACAGGAGCAGGCAGCAGCAACCTGGGTAGACGCAGCCACCTGAGGGGGGGCCCCAGCCGAAGGGGTCACGGTGTCCAAAGTGAACAGGCCGGACACCGGGTCCCGGGGGAACGTGGACAGGGGGGCACTAGTGGCGGCCTCGGTACAGACAGCATACCGCTCGTGGCCAGGGAACGTAGTGGTGACGCCAAGGTCCTGGAGGCAGCCGACACCAACTAGGTTCCTGGAGAACGAGGGGATATGCAGACCTGTAAGAGAGCCCGAAGGAACCGCCGGACTGGGAAGGGTGGTGGAACTGCGGGCGACTACCGGACCACCAGAGGGGTCAGCAAGAGAGACGGCAGCAGGAACAGGAAGCGGCGTCAGGGTGGTGGAGTCGCGGAAGAAACACCGAGAAGCGCCAGAGTCCAAGGTGAAGGAAAGCGAAGCAGAGGCGTCTGGCGTCGGAACGACGGTGGAAGCACCAAGACTACACAAAGCAGAGGATCCTACGCCTGACGCAGCAGGGGAGGCTACGCTAGACACACCTACGCTAGGCAACAGTGAGTAATAAGTTGGAAGCACACTAGAGTCATCAGCATACATCACATGCAGAGCAGAAACAATGGCATCCATGTCCATATCAAAGATCTGAATCTTACGACTAAGCAAACTGTGCCAGTCCGGGAGGTCTGGTGACGGGCCGAAGCGCTGACGGAAGAGGTCGTCCAGGCGACGAAAACAGCGGGGAGTGGAGTGACCGATCTTACCGCAAACGAAGCCGCGGCGAGGACCGGTCTGGATCTGGTACTGACAACGCCCGCCGCCAGAGCCACCACTCGGCACACCACCACGCGCCCGGCCACCGCCAGCGCCGGGCCACCCGGGCGGGAGGACACTCGTATGCCGTGTCTGCGACGGCTGCTGCGGCTGCTGCGAAGGCTGCGACTGCGGCGGCTGCTGCGGCTGCTGCAACTGCAGGGGCGGCGGCTCAGCTGGACTGGGCAGGGTCCCCTCGTCCGCTCTAGCACCAGACGACCCGACCCCACCACTACCCCCTCCCGCACCCCCGCCTCCGCCGCGCCCAGCCTTGGGGCGGCGGCCCTTCCCCGAACGGAACTGCGCTGAAGCAGCAGTCTCAGCCACTGCGGCAGAGCCGTCGGAGAAGGTACACTGAGCGGGGGCACAACCCTGAAAGATAGGGACCGGCACGGCACCGCTCGCCTGGGCGATGGAGCGGTGACGGGTCTCTATCACAGTCAGGGTGTCTACAAAGTCAGTGAGGGTGAGGTCGGCGGGGTGAATGCTAAGGAAGCGGTCGCGGGCGACAGCAAGGCGGTCAGGGAGGCGGGTGGCAAGCAGGTAGAGGGTAGAGGTAATGGGCGGCTGGTGGGCTCTAAGCTGTGCGTCAGTGCAGGCAGCGCGCCAGGTCTCATCTATCGAGCGCAGGTGGGCAGCAAGGTCAGAGACAGTAGGGAAGGATGCAAGGTCAGGAAAGAGCATCGGGAGGATCAGGCGACCCACCGAGGCAGCCGGAGGAGTGGAATAGCGCTGGATGACAGCATCTAAGTATGCCTGAGCAGTGGTGAGGGACCTAAAGCGAGGGCGCTCGGACGGGGGAAGGGCGTTGCTAATGGTAAGCTGGGCGACAGCATCGCGAGAAAGCCAGACAGAGCGCGCACGGGCAGTGGCAGCAGTAGACTCGCGCTCGGTGGGGGTGGAGTCAGCGGGCAAAATAGCAGGGGGGTCTGGGCAGGGGAGCGTACCGTCAAGGTGTGCGGAAAGCGGTTCGCCATCCTGCCGCTGGCCAGTGAGTTGGCGGCGGAGGTCGGCAAGCCACGCCTCGAACTCCAGAGGCTGGCCTTCAGCGTCGAAGCGAAGCTCCGCCGCCATCAGGAACAACGCAGTGCGGTGCAGGGCAGTGCAGCAAGGTGGAGTGCGGTGCCGTGCGGTACAGTGCGGTGCAGTGCGGTGTAGTGCGGTGCAGTGCGGTGCCAGGCAGTACAGGATGGTGAGGGGCGGTGCAGTGCGGGGCAGTACGGTGCAGGGCAGTGCAAGGCGGGGGGGGGATAGAGTGTTGGTAGATAGAGTGAGAGTACACACAGATATACCTAAGTCTTGTACCCTCTAAGAGGTGACCCTATACAGTCTATACAAACATGACAATTACACATGTTTGACATAAGTGACTAGAATAGAAGGATACAGGGGTATATAGACTAGTGTGTTGTACCCTCTAAGGCACAAACCAGTATAGTCTACAGTAACCACCTAAGTTACATTTGACACAGATTTCTAGGATGCGTCAGATTTCTAGTCTTCCATTCCATTATCCATTGATGGATCTGCATTCCGCACACCGTGCTGCATCATAACTGCCAAAGTAACTAGTTTAGGATTGTGAACTGAAAAGCATTAATACCTGCGGTAACACTGATGAATCAGCAAACGGTCAGGTACCGACCCTGACAAATCAGCAAAGTTTAAGCTTGAGACGCTGACAGAAAGTTTTTTTGCATGATGATACTGAGCAGAGCAATCAGGGCGGTCCGAAACCAGTCTGAGGCCCTGTCTGCCATGCACTGATCCCATGCGATGTTGGCTGTATCGAGTTGGATGTGTGCTTTCATGCAATGCGTAAGGTCTGGTATGGTACTCGTATGGTTTGTCGTGCTTGGTGGTTTGATTGATACGGTACCCTCAGTCAGCTTTCTCACTAGTGCAAAAAAGTACAACCCGTGGTGGCCCTGTAACACAGTATGGGATGGGGACAACAAATTCCTGCTCCTACATATTTGGTAGTAGCAGAGTACCTATTAACAAAAACACTTTTGTTGGTACTGTTTCCAGTCATTCTGTATGAGTTAACCAATGAAGTTGATAACGACGAGGTACAGCACCAGGCTACAGAGCACATAGTCAGCGAAGGCCCTCTCGTTCGGCAGGTCCTGCAACATTCGGCACAGCAGACAATTAAGTAGGGATGAGGGGGGTGGGAAGGGGAATAGTAAGGAGGGTGGGAAGGGGGTGGGAAGGGGGCAGGAAGGGGGGAAAGCTGTTGAACAAAAAGTGTGACGTCTATAAAATCCAAGTCGTTCCATGCCAGGCAAAGAAGATGCACGAATGCAGAACACAAGCAGTGAAAACAAAATCTGACTCTGCCAATAAGATTCAAATAACAGCAGGGGTTGGGAGGAGCGAGTGGGAAGAGAAAACGAGGGGTAGGTGGTGGGGAATGGTAGGGAGGAGAGAGGAGCGAACCTGAAAGTCCTTGTTCTCCTTGTTGGCTTGCATTCTCAAACACACTGTGCGGAGAGAGGGGGAGAGGGAGAGACAGAGGGGGGGGGAGAAGGGGGGGAGGGAGGAGGGACATGTGCACATGGTATGTGAACAAGACGCACAAAGATGAAGGGTGGAACGCTGCGGAAGAGGGGTCGGGAGTGAGAAGGGGAGCAGTGTGAGGGGAGCAGTGTGAGGGGAGCAGTGTGAGGGGAGCAGTGTGAGGGGAGCAGTGTGAGGGGAGCAGTGTGAGGGGAGCAGTGTGAGGGGAGCAGTGTGAGGGGAGCAGTGTGAGGGGAGCGCAAGGGGAATGTATTCATTAAGGAATGAAGGAAGGCAAAGCGAAGGATACATGGTCTATTACTAACAATAGATCTTCTATTCATGACCGCACGAAGAGCTCACGCACACCTGCAAGCACGGCCAGGGGTTCGCACACACCTGCAAGCACGGCCAATGGTTCACACATACCTGCAAGCACGGCCAATGGTTCACACATACCTGCAAGCACGGCCAATGGTTCACACATACCTGCAAGCACGGCCAGGGGTTCGCACACACCTGCAAGCACGGCCAGGGGTTCGCACACACCTGCAAGCACGGCCAATGGTTCACACATACCTGCAAGCACGGCCAATGGTTCTCACATACCTGCAAGCACGGCCAATGGTTCACACATACCTGCAAGCACGGCCAGGGGTTCGCACACACCTGCAAGCACGGCCAGGGGTTCGCACACACCTGCAAGCACGGCCAATGGTTCACACATACCTGCAAGCACGGCCAATGGTTCACACATACCTGCAAGCACGGCCAATAGTTCACACATACCTGCAAGCACGGCCAATGGTTCACACATACCTGCAACCACGGCCAATGGTTCACACATACCTGCAAGCACGGCGGTTCCAACGCAGGAGAGCACCCCAGCGAGGAAAGCGTTGAAGGGGAACGACCCCACCAGCGCCATGTACGCAAACTGGTGACAAGAGGGGGGGCGGAGGGGGGGGTCAGAGAGGACTGAGCAGTGACGGAAAAGTTGAGTCAGCGGTCACGGGGAAAGCGTTGAAGCGTTGAACGACCCCACCAGCGCCGTGTACGCGAACTGGGTGGAAAAGAGGGGGAGGGGGGCGGGAGATAGAAGGAGGGGTTGAGACGTTTTTGAAACAAGCCATGCTAGAGGGGTGGACGGGTGGGGGGGTGGGGATGAGGGGGAGGGGAGGGGTGGAGCGATGAGGTGCAGAAACAAATAGTGGGGGCCCGGAAGGATTAGGGAGAGACTATTGAGTCGACTACAATGTTATGAGGAAAGGCGCTGAAGGGTAACCAAGGGACCCCACGGGTGCCATACGCGCGGACCGGTGAGTGGTGGGGGTAAGGGGCGATACCTGGACGACACGTGGACGGCACGAGGACGGCACGAGGACGGCAGGTGATGCGTACCTGAATCCCAGCCGTGAGCAATGCGTAGACCACGAGCAGATCGAGGGCCTGCAATAATCCCCGGACGTAGAAGAGACGAATCAGAATGTATATATGAAAAAAAAATCGAGATCAGATCTTATTTTTCTCCGGAACGAAACGACGCAATGAAGAGGACGGCGAGAGAGGAAATGGAGAGCAATTGCTGCGGAACGCGTGCGCGACGGATCTTTATTGCCGGAAAGTGTAAAGTACATGTTCTATATACGCGTTATCAGAGCGTTCGTCAGTGTACTGCAACCATTCCCTCGACTGGCAACCAGAACGCACACGACCGCCCGATCCCAGAATATCAGCAAAAAAACTCCGACCTTAAGTTTGACCGGCGTCTTGCTGTACTCGTTATAGAATGTGGACGTCACAGATCTGAAATCATCCACGATCCCCATCGCTGCAATGCGATCTACTCCAACCAATCAATCAATCCCACCAAATCTGACTGACAGCTAGAAACAGCAGAAGAGCCTGAAGCGGAATAACAAAATAACTCCGCGTGTCCCTGGAAACGAGGACAAACTAAGAGCCGCCGTTCTAAATCCCGATCGGAAATCCGTGGTCGGCGGGAGGAACGGAAGACAGAGGAGGTGCCTCTCCCGTGTCCAGAAACAGGTCAGTTGTTGGCGAAGCGGAAATTCCGAGATTTAGTAAAAATGGGGACAGTCTCGAGGGATTGGAAGGTCAAACCATTCCGTTACTGAGTACTATGTATCCGAGGCATTCCGTTCTCCGCATGTCAGCGTTGACTTAAAGCTGCCTGTTTTTCCGAGGATTTGTCAATCAAGAGAACGGAACACCCACCTTTTCCGTTCTGAGCTGATGGGTGCCCACAGTTTGAGGGCAGCGTCCGCGGCGTATACCCTTACTTGACACGAGGTTGCCATACCCAAAAAATTGGACTCCGCCTCGCTCCACTTGAGAAAGGGGATTCGAGAATGAACAAAAACCCTGCGCTCCCAGGTGGGCTTGAACCACCGACCTTATGGTTAACAGCCATACGCTCTAACCAACTGAGCTACGAGAGCTGTGAACAAACCATATACAAAATAATTCAAAAATCAATATTTGTTTCTACAATTTCCCCCTTGGTCGTAGGTGTATTGTTCGGACATGGCTTGTTACGCGCCAAGAACGCGTGGAGCAGCGTCTCGGCTTCTCTCTCTGCCGCCCTTCCCCGGCCGTGCCTGCTACTACTCGTCCCCGACCTCGTCCCTTCCTAGCTGCCCCCCAACTCTCCCCCTCCACCCCCTCGGCCCTCCCGCCGCTGCACCTCCCCCTTACCCGCACCAGTCATGGCTGCGCTCAACTGTCTCCGCTACGCACTCCGCGCCTTCCAAACCCGCCCCGTTTGCGCCTTACGCCCTATCCGTCCTATCCGCCCCTTCCGTTCCCCAGCCCGCTCCGCGCTTCTCCAACAGTGACCCCGCGCCTGCCCCTTCCTCCGCCACCTATTCCTCTCCCCTTGGCGCACCATTTCCCGCAGTTTCTCCGCCCCCGCCGCTCTCTTCCGCCGTCTTCCCATCCGCCGCAACACGTGTAAATTCCGCCACGTGGCACCTCCAGAATTCGCCAGAGCATCTCCGTCCACATGTTCCCCGGGAATTCAGCAGCAGCGCGGAGAGCAACGGTGGCGGAAGTGGCGCAGCGGAAGTTCCCCCGGACGGAGATGGCGCAGGGGAGACTCCTCCTGGGGGAGGCATATTTCACAACATTCGGGTTGAAATTGTGGCGGACGGGCAGGTTGGGTTAATTACCCTGGCCAGGCCGAAAGCGCTGAACGCCCTCTCCCAGGCGGTTATGGGGGAGGTGGTATCTGCGTTAAAGTGGATGGACAAGGAGGAAGCGGTGAGTGCTTTATGCCCCATGCCTTGCAACCCACTGCTTTGTGGCTGTACTCGTTATAACCCGCCGCAGGTAGGAGCTACAGTAATAACATGGGAGGGCCGGGCGTTTTCAGCTGGAGCGGACATACCAGAGAAGGCGCCGCTGTCGTTTGCTGTGCTTAATGTCTCCTGTATGAACCATCATAGTTGTGTCTGTACTGTACCCGTTATAAACCGCCGCAGGTGGGGGCGACAGTGATAACAGGCGAGGGCCGGGCGTTTGCAGCAGGAGCGGACATAGCGGAGATGGCGCCGCTGTCCTTCGCTACTGCGTTCAAGGGCGACCTGCTGGGGGCGTGGGACGACGTGAGGCGCATCAAGAAGCCAGTGATTGCCGCTGTCAATGGGTGGGTGGGTGGGTGGGTGGGTGGGTGGGTGGGTGGGTGGGTGGGTGGGGGTGGGTGGGTGGGTGGGTGGGTGGGTGGGTGGGTGGGTGGGTGGGTGGGTGGGTGGGTGGGTGGGTGGGTGGGTGGTGGGTGGGTGGGTGCGTGGGTGCGTGCGTGGGTGCGTGGGTGCGTGGGTGCGTGCGTGGGTGCGTGGGTGCGTGGGTGCGTGGGTGCGTGGGTGGGTGGGTGGGTGGGTGGGTGGGTGCGTGGGTGCGTGGGTGGGTGGGTGGAATGAGTGGGTGAATGGTCGTAAGTGGGTGGGTGGGGGAGGGGGGATTCCAACAGGAGCGGACATAGCGGAGATGGCGCCACTGTCGTTGCCGCTGTCAATGGGTCGGTAAATAGCCCGGTGAATATGTGGGTTAGCTGAGATGGCACTCTCTTCCGCGTTCAAGGGCGACCTGCTGGCTGGGGGGGGTGCGGCGGCACGAGGCGCATCAAGAAGCCAGTCGTTGCTGCTATCAATGGGTGGGTGCATGTGTGTGAGAAAGTGATATGACACTATTACAGTGGGCGAGATGGCTGTTCACTTCCTCTCCCCCCCACCTCACCCCACCAGCTATGTGTTGGGCGGCGGCTGATGTGCGATGGTGTGCGATGGTGAGACAGCTGGTGATGATGTGAGACAGCTGTTTCACTTCTTTCTCCCCCCACCTCACCCCACCAGCTACGCACTGGGCGGCGGGTGTGAGCTGGCGATGATGTGCGACATCATCCTGGCCGGCGAGAAAGCTGTTTTCGGGCAGCCCGAGGTGAAGCTGGGGGTGATTCCGGGGATGGGCGGCACGCAGCGGCTGACTCGGGCGGTGGGCAAGGCGCGTGCCATGGAGATGGTTCTCACAGGGGAGTTTTTCATGGATGCGAATGAGGCGGTGCAGGCTGGGCTTGTGAGCCGTGTGGTGAGTGCTTCTTTCATCTGGTTGACTTACCATATTGACTTACCATCTGGTTGTCCAGGCAAGGCATGCGCCATGAAGATGAGATGATAGTGACTGGGGAGTTGTTCAAGGACACTGAGGAGGCGGTGCAGGCTGGGCTTGTGAGCCGAGTGGTGACTGCTGCCCACATGTGATTGACTTACCGCATAGGGTGTGTTAGGTTTTTTTAGAATTCTCAATTACCATTTAGGGTCGGTAAGCAAGGCGAGCGCCATGGAGATGATCCTCACTGGGGAGTTCTTCGTGGTCGCAGAGGGGGCAGTGCACGCTGGGCTTGTGAGCTGAGTGGTGAGTGTGCTTTGTTCTCTCGCGCGCGGTGGGCAAACCATGTGCCATGGAGATGGTTCTCCCGGGGGAGTTCTTCGTGGCCGCAGAGGGGGCATGCTGGGCAGGCTGGGCAGGCTGGGCAGGCAGGGCAGGCTGGGCAGGCAGGGCAGGCTGGGCAGGCTTGGTGGGCAGTGCCGGCTAGCCGATTGGTGAGTCTACGTTGAGTGTGCATGTATCGAATAACATCAGTGTGCATGTTTCCTCCTCCCTCCTTTACATCCCAGGTCAGCCAGGGAAACTAACCAAGACAGCCATTGACACGGTTACCAGGATTGGGGCCCTGTCACAGCCGGCCATGGCCATGGCGAAGCAAAACGTCAATGCTGATTCAGAAAGTCTCTGGCCTTCCCTCTCCCCTTGTCCCCCAGATCTCAGGCCCGCCAGAGGACCTGGTCAAGGCAGCCATAGAGATGGGTACCAAGATCGCCTCCCTATCGCAGCCAGCAGTGGCGATGGCAAAGCAGAGTGTCAACGCTGCGTTCAGTGGGTGTCTCGCTGAGGGATTGGCGCTGGAGCGGGCCAATTTCCTCTCCACATTCGCTCTGGCGGACCAGCAGGAAGGGATGGGTGCTTTCTTGGAGAAACGGGAGGCCGGGTTCACACACGGGTGAGGCGGATTGACAGTCCATGCCTCGATGAAGGGCTTGCTCTTGAGTCAACTCAAAAGTCGCATTGATGAAGGGCTTGCTCTAGAGCGAGTGAGCTTTCTGTTTCCCTCGTGTGTGCGTGGGAGAGGTACTGTTGGGCCATGCCTCATGGGACGACCCATATGTACATATTGTACAGTCTCTGCAGTTGTTTGCAATACAAGGTTCGCCATGATGAATGAAGTATGCTAGCTCCTACAAAACTGTTGCATGCATGGTACCTTGCATGCACTGTAGGTGGTGGTGGAAACATGCGACGCGAGTACTTATTGGTGGAATAGATATAGGTGTCATCCTGCGCTCTTTCTTTGGTGAAATTGTTCTCTACTTCATAACATTTATACGCTCTCTACTTACTATTTATAAATTCCTTACATGAAATGCCAACCTACGGCAGCAGCGATAACAACAGCACTCACATCTGCGAATGCTGCCTTGCCTGATAGATAGCGGTATTAACTATCATCATCCTCTACTAACCTTCCCCTCCCTTTCCTGACTAACTGTCGCATCTTCTCCACCCACTCCCTCACGTCCTTCCCTCCCACCCTCGTCCTCCCTCTCCCCCCTCCTCTCCCCTTTCCTTTCCTCTTCTCCCCTCCTTCACTCACACGGACTCTCACATCCCCCAACCACTGTTTCGACTGCTGCAACAATGCATCCCGCTTATAGGCAACCTCACTAAGAGACATAGTGCTCAGGTCTGCATGCCCTAGGCGGGTAGGAGGTTTAGACTTGCTGTGTTTGCTGCCCTCCTCGTTGTCGGGGGTGGGTGAAAGGGAAATGCCGTATGTGCATCCAAGCTTGTTGCCTGTCCCTGCAGTGCTGTTGCCTGTCCCTGCAGTGCTGTTGCCTGTCCCTGCAGTGCTGTTGCCTGTCCCTGCAGTGCTGTTGCCTGTACTGCTCGTACTGCTGTTGCTGCTTCTATTGCTGCTGCTGTCACTGCTGCTGTTGCTGCTGCCATTACTGCTGTTATTGCTGCTGCTGTTGGTGCAGTGAAAAACTTTTCCGGTCAACCTCTTGCGAGAGGCGGAGGAGGGAACGCAGTGGCCACGCCCACTGCAGTGCATGGCGGGGAGAGAGGGCGGAATGGTTGAGACATAAAGGAGGAGGTGAGTGAGAGTGAGAGAGGAAAGGGAAAGACAAGGGATGTGGCAGTGGAGGAGGAGGGAACAGACGCAGTGGCCACGCCCACTGCAGTGCGTGGCGGGGAGAGGGTGGATGCAGAGAGGAGTGGCAAGGAGAAAGGAAATCAGCCCACTGTGAGCATGCCTCATCACACTCGTGTCGACCAACCCTCTCACCTGCATGCATGTGTCGTGCCATCATTGGCTCCACAGAACGCAGCACACTGCCTCTCGTGCCGCTGATTGGCCAGCCAACAAGCCGAACCAGCAGCACCCAGGTTCGGCCCAAAGCTGACTTCTAACTGTTCACCGAGGCTGGACCTCAGGTTCGGGGGCACAGGGCAGGATGGCAGCAGCAGGCAGTTCGCACGAAGTCGGGCAGTCGTGTTCGCTGGCAACCAATCAGACGATCTGGGCAGGCTGCCCGAGAAAAAGTTGTTTGAGAGATCGAGCGAGAGAAGGGAGGGAGGGAGGAGGGATGGCAGGGAGCCGGAGAGGAAGTTGTGAGAGGCGTTGAGGCGAGTGAGGTGGAGGAGGGAGGAGGCGAAGTCAGGGAGGGAAGCAACGAGGTGGTTTCGGCTCAGGTCCAATTCCTAGGAGAGGGATGGAGGTGGAATAAAGGGAGCGGATGGGGGGAAAAAGAGGCAAGAGGAAAAGAACTCAGCAAAACATTGGAGGGAGGGAGGGCAGGGGGCCTGAGAGGACGTTCCGAGAGGCGTTGAGGAGAGTGAGGTGGAGGAGGAAGGAGGAGAAGTTTGGAAGGGAAGCAACAAGGTGGTTTCGGCCCAGGTCCAATTCCTAGGAGAGGGATGGAGAGGAAATAGAGGGAGCGGATGGGGGGAAAAGAGGCAAGAGGAAAAGAACTCAGCAAAACAGAGGACGGAGGGCAGGGGCCCTGAGGGGAAGTTGAGAGAGGCGTTGAGGAGAGTGAGATGATGGAGGGAGGAGGCGAAGACAGGGAGAGAGGAAAAGAGGTGAGGAAAACAGAGGAGGGAGGGGAGGGGGGCTGATAAGAAGTGGCGAGAGGCGTTGAGGCGAGTGAGATGATGGAGGGAGGAGGAGAGGCTGGGGAGAGAAGCAACGAGGTACTTTCTGCTGAGATCAAGCTCCTGGTAGGGAGAGATGAGAAGCAGAAAGAAGAGTTAAGGAGCCATTCTTGAGATTTCTCATTAAGGACGGCCAATGCATCGGGGTCAGGGAAACACAATGGGCGTCGGCAACGTATTGGGTCAAGAAAAAAGTGGGTCAGAGAGAAAAATGAGGATTGGTTTCAGTGAAAAGAATAGGATAGGTGTCGGGGGGAAAGTACAGCATTGGTGTCAAACAAAGAGTAGGATTGGTGTCAGAAAAAAAATATACGATTGGTTTTGGAGGATGGATAGGATTGGATCAGGGATAAAGATTGGGTCAGGGAGAAATCTTGCTTCTGGAAAAAAAGAGAGGAGGATTTGTTTAGGAGGAAGAGTGGTGGCATACCTGCAGCCGCGTGAGGGCGGTGAAGCTGGCTGGCACAACGCCGGAGAGGCGGTTACCACTGAGGTGTAACATTCTCAGTCCGGTGGCGATTCCCAGCTCAGTGGGGATGGCACCGCTGAAGGCGTTGTCGTTGAGGAGGAAGCGCGTGAGCTGAAGGAAGGGCGTGCGGGAAAAAAAAGGGGTGAAGATTGGGGTGGAAAAAACATTGACCAGCCGCCACTCCCTCGGGCCGGAGGCCACACCTAGCTCAGTGGGGATGGCACCGCTGATGGCGTTGTCGTTGAGGAGGAAGCGCGTGGGCTGCGGGAAGGGAGGAAGGCAGGGAAGACAAGGGTGGGCAACGAAGGGGGGTGGTGAGGGGCCAGGGGTGGTTGTTGATTCCAAGGGTTGACATTCTGAGGGGTCCAGAGACAAGGCACGGCACGACGCAAAAGACGAATTGGACATGGCACGGCACGGCACGACGCAAAAGACGAATTGGACATGGCACGGCAGGAAGGACGAATTGGACATGGCACGGCAGGAAAGGTCAATCGGACACTAGCACGACACGGGCCGTCCTTTGGTCCTCCCACAACACAGTGGGAGATGCAATTATCTGGGGGAAACAAGGGTCAAAATGGATGGATTTTTGAGAAATCTAAAAAATGTTGTAGGTCATTTTTTAGAATGATCAAATATCACCTACAACATGAGAGAGTTCTAAAAAAATCATGAGTGGGAGAAGTGATTATCTGGGGGAAACAAGGGTCAAAATGGATGGATATTACAAGCAACACCAGGAAAACAATGGCCACGAACCTGTAACACAGAACAAAAGTTGCAACTGAAAAGTGATACCTGGTAGAGCGTTTTGAGTCGACTCAAAACATACCTCAAAACACGTTTTGAGTCGACTCAAAACACACTTGGCTACGAACCTTGAAACACAGAACAAAAGTTACAACTGACAAGTGATTACCTGGTAGAGCATGCCAAAGGAAGGCGGGATGCGGCCCGACAAGCGGTTGTGCGACACGTCGACCACGTACGACTGCACCAGCCTGCCCAGGATGGCGGGCAGGCTGCCCGAAAAGGAATTGTTGGCGAGGATGAGACCAGAATCCAGAATGGAGAAGATTGGGGACGCCAGGGGGGTGGACAGCTGGGGGCTGATGGGCCCTGAGAGGTTGTTGCTGTGGGCTGGATGGTGTGAGGGGGAAGGGTAGCAGGAGAGGGAGACAAGAGGGAGTGGGGGGACGAGGCGTGGGGGGTGTGAGGATGAGCCCTGAATCCAGAGTGGAGAAGATGGGGGACTCCAGGGGGGTCGACAGCTGGGGGCTGATGGGCCCTGAGAGGTTGTTGCCGTGGGTTGGACAAGGCTGGGATGAACATTGAGTCGGGAGTACAAGAGGGAACCGCTGGGATGCTGGTTTGATATGATTGCTGGTTGAGTAACCACAAATATGAGTGAGAGTGGCTTGACTGGTGGAAGGAAGGTAGGAAGACAGAGGGATGTAGTGGGGGAGTAGCAAAGAGGTTGGGCAGCAGTGTGGTGCGGGAGTCCTCACCTGAGAAGAATCCCAGCCGTCCAGAGGGCAGGAGAGCGGGATCCAGTGGCCCATCCAGGCCGTTGAAGTCGAGCAGAAGGTCTGAGACGCCCACCAGCCCAGAGAGGTCGGGTAGGGCCCTCTGACTCCACGACAGGCAGCCGGTCCCCGACAGGCAGCCGGTCCACGACAGGCAGCCGGTCCATGACGCCCTCTGAGGTTGGTTGGTGGCAGAGAGGTCGAGCACGAGGACGAGGCAGGACCAAGGAGCAACTCCTCAAGTTCTCACCTGAGAAGAATCCCAGCCGGCCAGAGGGCAGGAAGGCGGGGTCCAGCGGCCCATCCAGGCCGTTGAAATCGAGCAGAAGATCCGACACTCCAGCAAGAGAGGAGAGGTCCGGGAGGGGCCCTCGGAGGTTGATAGCAGAGAGGTCGAGCACGAGGACGAGCGAGGTGAGGCGTGGGATGGAGGGAGGGAGAGGCGCTGGGGTGAAGGGGTTGAAGGCGATCTGTAGGGTTGCCAGCTGGAAACGCAGTAGAAAGGCGAGGGATGGAGGGGGGAAGAGGTGTGGGGGAGAAGATGGGGTTGATTGCTTTGCGATTGATAAGGGTCCACTGTCCAGGTTGGAAAGTGTTGGTTTTGAGGCGCCTCAGAAAGGGGTCCAGGTTGGAATAGACATGGGCACAAGCCGAGCCACATCCGGCTCGGCTCGGCTCGGCTCGCCAAAATGACGAGCCGAGCCTTTCTTTTCGGGATCTGGCTCGACTCGAGCCGAGCCGGCTTGGCTCGGTCGAGCCAGCCGGCTCGACTCGGCTCGTACACAATGTCCTCTTCGAGCCGGGGTCGAGCCGGCTCGTCCCCGGCTCGATTTCGAGCCAGGTGGCTCCCACTCGATTTCAAGGGTAAATTGCCCCCTCGACAAAACGTGTCTCCCGTTTCTCTCTCCCGCCAACAACTCCTAGTCTATGTTCCCGAAATCGCTCTAGCGGTGCAACGTTTATCCTTTAAACGCTGCGTTTAAAGGGTAAACGCTAAACGCTCGCCCAAAATATTTGACGCGGAATTCTTTCCCGCGACATTGCGACCTCGCGAATTCAACCAGTCGCAACCCCAAACTTTGACGACCAAAAACACATCCAACCCTTTTGCCCCGCTCAACCGCACTGCACACTACTGCATCTACAACTTCCAACCTAGCCTCTTGCACCCTCCTTCCTCCTCACAATCCACTTCCCGTCAATTTCGCGAACACTAGAATTCTGCGCGCCTATGAGTATCTCATTAGGTTAGTTCGCGCGAGAAATCTTAAGCAGCCCGCGCCACTCTTAACAACGCGCGCTTGCATTGGCTCCACCCACACTTCTGTTGGCTTAAACGCATGCTAGGCGAGTCGAGCCGAGCCGGCTCGCCGTCGAGCCAGCCCTGGCTCGCCCACAGAAATGCGAGCCGAGCCAGGCATGTTTGGTGCCCGGCTCGACTCGAGCCGAGCCAGGCTCGACGGCGAGCCGGCTCGGCTCGACCCCTGGACGAGCCGAGCCGAGCCAGGCTCGGCTCATGCCCATGTCTAGGTTGGAAAGTGTTGGGGGGTGCTACGGTACATGTAGTCACTTCACACATCACACGATCCCTGATTCTGGTGATGGGGATGCCATTTATGCAATGCCACGGCATTGGCATTCTGGAGATGGCAATCACCTTCTGCTCCACAATGATTTACTGACAGCGGAATTTTTAGGCGCCTCAAAAAACATTCTGTTCGACAAAAATTTACTGACAGCGGAATGGCCCCTGAGAGCCGGTTGCTCTGCAAGTGGAGCTGTGGGAGGGAGGGAAGGGAGAGAGCTAGATGGCAGGAAACGGCCTCACCTGTGCCAGTCGGTCCCAGGGGCGGAATGGCCACTGGTTGCTCTGGACGTGGAGATGTGGGCGGGAGGGAAGGGAGAGAGCTAGATGGCAGGTAAAGGCCTCACCTGTGCCAGTCGGTCCCAGGGGCGGAATGGCCGCTGGTTGCTCTGGACGTGGAGATGTGGGCGGGAGGGAAGGGAGAGAGCTAGATGGCAGGTAAAGGCCTCACCTGTGCCAGTCGGTCCCAGGGGCGGAATGGCCGCTGGTTGCTCTGGACGTGGAGATGTGGGCGGGAGGGGAAGAGGGAGAGAGCTAGATGGCAGGAAACGGCCTCACCTGATTCAGCCGGTCCCAGGTGTCCCAGGTGTCATGTCAGGGCAAGGTCCAGAAGGCACGTGATGGGCTCACCTGTGTCAGCCGGTCCAGGGGAGGAATGGCTCCTGAGAGCCGGTTGCTCTGCAGGCCGAGATGGAGCAGGCGAGTGAGGCAGGACGTGAGAGCGGAAGGGATGGAGCCTGATAAGGAGTGACGGCAGGGGCATGTTGAAAGGGGAATGGGACGCGCTTTTGAGTCGACTCCAAAGCAGGGGCATGTTGAAAGGAGAATGGGACGTTGGGTGGATGAGGGCTCGTCCAGGAAGGGTCTCATCCAAGAGAGGTGGGGAATGGCCTCTCTGCAGGCCGAGAGGCAGCAGACGAGTGAGGCGAATGGGAGGGCAGCACGAGTGCAGTCCGTCGAGCAACACGGCGAAGGGGCCAAGGGAGATTGGCACAAAAGAGGAACGGGTTCAGGGTAGCGTACAGGACAGGTAAGCACACTGAAAGGGGACAAGTGAACCAAACAGGTAGGTAGTTCAAGGGGCATGCTTTCTGACTGAAAGTGGGTTGCACACCTGACCACGTATCAGGCAGGCTCGTGGGGCTCTCAGGGGGCTCGAAAGAGTCGAAAGAGGAAGCTCAGGCAGACCAGAGGCGAACAGGAAGCCTCACCTCACCGGACAAAGAATTGACTGTGTATGTGGTGCAGTAATTTCGTTTTGAGACGTCTCAAAACGAAATTACTACACCACGAGGGACCTCAGGCAGACCGGAGGTGGCAAGGAAGCCTCACCGGACAAGGAGTTGAACGAGAGGTCAAGTGCACGCAAGGTGGTCACATTCGCCAGGCCCGCTGGAATCCGTCCTGAGAGGCCAGACTGCCTTCTCGCCATGGTAGGTGTGTCTTTCAGTACTGCTGCCGTGTGCAGTGCTGCCTCTTGCAGTGCACCAGAGGCAGAGGCAGTAGCAGCACCAGTATCCGAGCTGGCATCAGAAGCGCGGCGGTTCCTGTCGAGGAAGAGGAACTCGAGGGGCAGGCGGGAGAAGTCCGGGAGGGCCCCGTGGAGAAGGTTCTTGGAAATGTCGAGGTAGGTGAGGTGGAGGAGGCGGGAGAAGGCCTTGGGGAGTCGGCAGTGGAAGCAGTTGCTCTGGGGGGGGGGAGGGGAGGGGGGAGGGGAGGGGGGAGGGGAGGAGGGGGGGGGAGGGGAGGGGGGTCGCGATTCGACCACAGTGAAAAGTTTCAGAGGGCGAGCCAACGCAAAGGCAACCAAGGCATGCGCCCTCTCTTCAAGTAGCTTGCAAGGCGTACCTCGAGGTCAATGAACTCAAGGCGAGTCAACAGAGCGAGAGCTTCCAGTGAGGAGCCCTGCAGCCTCTGGGAGTAGAGTCCGAGGCTGAAAACACAGACACACACAGACACACAGACACACGCAAACACCAACACAAGGTGACTCTCGAATCGACTCAAAAATCCACTGGGGGTCGAGACTGAGTAGCAGGAAGAGCTGAACCTAAGGGAGGGGAGGGAGGGGGGGGGAGGTTGGAAGGAGGGAGGGGGGAGAGGGAAAGAGAGGACTAACCCTGTGACACGTGGCGGGTTGTCATTGGAGCACTGCACTCCTGGGAAGGCGTCCTGGCAGGGGTCGGAATCGGGTGAGGGGAACCATCCCGGCACTCCGGGGAGCTCGTCCCCATCCCTACCGACTATCACACCGCTCCTGCTGCTGCCGCCGCCGCCGCCGCCGCTGCTAGGTGACTTTTGAGTCGACTCAAAAGTCACCTCCCTACCGACTATCACACTGCTGCTGCTGCTGCCGCCGCCGCCGCTGCTGCTGCTATTGTTATTGCTGCTGCCGCTGGTGCTGTTGTTGTTACCGCTGCTGCTGGCACGTCTGCTGCTAGAGATGGTGAAGACAGATGATTGGAAGCGCTGAAGAGCCGCCACGTCAGATGGGTGCGTGGCCGCTGTTGGTTGGATATGATGACGTGGCAGAGTTGAGAGTTTGAGGATATTGTATTGGGAAAGGTGGGCAGTGGCTCAACACAGCGGGTTTAGCAACGGACAGACCACGGAAGGGAAAAGCGTGAAAGAGAAAAAGACAACGGGTTCAACACTCATAAGAAAGAGAGATGGTCACGCATGACTGCGCTGGGAATGGAAGCCAGGATAGCGTGCCGTCTGAATGGCACAACTCAGAGCGGGAGAATGGTCACCCAGGCAAGGGGCTGCGTGCAATGCAAACACGTAGCCCTTTCACGAAAAAACGAGGTGACTTTTGAGTCGACTCAAAAGTCACCTCGTAACCCTTTCACGAAAAAACGCAGCACGGATCTTGCTTGCAGCACGCGTGCACACATACAAACGCGCACACGCATGGACCGTGTAGAATCCAGAGCATACCACGAAATGGGTACCTTGGCAAGAGGCTGCGAGTGCGGCTATCAGTGCCACGATCAGAACGGCTTGACAGGCACTCGGAGCTTGAATCACGGGCTGCTTCCAGTGAAAGCCTCCTTGGAGAGCCCTTGAGCCCGAGCCTGAGCCCGAGCCTGAGCCCGAACCTGAGCCCGAGCCTGAGCCTGAGCCTGAGCCCGAGCCTGAGCCTGAGCCTGAGCCCGAGCCTGAGCCTGAGCCTGAGCCTGAGCCCGAGCCTGAGCCAAAGCCCGAACCCAAGCCCGAGCCCGAGCCCGAGCCCGAGCCCGAGCCCGAGCCCGAGCCCGAGCCCAAGCCCGAGCCCGAGCCTGAGCCTGAGCCCGAGCCTGAGCCTGAGCCCGAGACTGAGCGTGAGCCTGAATTGGAAGCATTGAGCTTCCGGGAGCCTTCAGAGCCAGGAGATTCTGCTCCGATCGACTGACTGAGTAACTGACATGCTGCAACGGAATCCGTCAAGGCGTTTGACGAAGCATCAGATGCCTTTCTTGGGACACGCCTTTCCTGACGACCCTCCTCCCAACCACTCGAGGACATGCACGATATGCATGATATGCATGATATGCACGATATGCACGATATGCATGACAGTGGAAAATCCGGATTCTTCATTGCGGGATATCTTTCTTCGTGCCCTAATGCGTTAGGCTGTCGCGAGCCCGGAGAGAATGACCTTATGTACATGAAGCCACTGGCTCGGCGAAAGTCTCGGAGAATGGCCTAAAGGGCTGTAGGCAACAAGGGCTCACGACAGCCGAGCTACTGGCTGTATGTACTTTAAAAGAAGCCAGCGGCGTGAGCCAGGCCATATAAAAGGCTTCATAGCCGTTTGATATGTCCACCGAGTCTACGATCGGACGGCTGTCAGAAATCCGATGCATCTGCGAATCCGACATCTTCGCCAGATGGAAACAGAAGGCGAATGCGGAAGGATGCACTGGAACCACCATGGCCGACGCAAGCACTCCGCGTGTGGTCGACCGGCTGAAGCCACTAAGGAGCGAGGAACGGGGACTCTTGTGAGCCAGCACAGCAAACACAAGACCGAGGGAGCGGTGGTGGGGGTGTCTTCTTGTGACCACTGACCACGCTCCCATGGGACTGACACTTCCCACCCTTGGGATTGCCGCAAAGCGGAGCCTGTAAACATGCCACCTTCGGCTGAGCAGGTGATGAAACGAACGCGTTGTAGTCATAAGCCTTTACAAGTTTAGCATACGCCATGTACACTGTTGAGCGAGGATCCTTGCTTCAAAACCTACGTGGGAATATGTGAGAAATATTTGGAGTTATGCACCACGTTCAAGACCTAACATCTAAGTATAAAAACACACACAAAAATGCTTAATATTCAGTTAGATAATCCAGCTGGGCGATTTTACGCATAAATGCTTCTATCCATCCACCACTAAGTCCAGTCCAGGCAGTCTCGAAATCGCCTAGTCATTCAAAGGGGCACACATCCATTCCCTTAGCAGTGAGGGGCCGCGCTAAGCACCTCTCCGTCCACGCCTGCACCCTTGGGAACTCCTCCAGCTTCAGCTGCTCCTCGCCGTTATAATATTTCTGCAACGGGGGGGGGGGGGGTGGGGGGGGCAGACAGAGCAGCAGAAAGTGAGGGAGGGAGGGGGGGCGGTCCTATGAAAATGAAGCAACCAACACTTCACCCTTGGGAAACCCTCCAGCTTCGGCTGCTCCTCAACATTATAATATTTCTGCAAGCAGACAGAGCAGCGGAAAGCGAGGGAGGGAGAGAGGCGGGTTGGGGGGGTCCTAAGGGAATGAAGTAACCGAGACTTCACTCTTGGGAACTCCTCCAGCTTCAGCTGCTCCTCGCCATTACAATATTTCTGTAAGGGAGGGCGGGGGGGATGTGGGGAGGGAGCAGACACAGCAGCAGAAAGCGAGGGAGAGGGGCGGGTTGGGGGGGTCCTAAGGGAATGAGGTACTCAAAACCACTCGCGCTTCCCTCCAGCCGCTTCTCCAAAACCAACCAAGAGGAACAGAAACAAACCAGTCACACGCACCTTGAGGCAAATGACCCAGGGGAAGGTGGCCATGTCAGCGATGGTGTAGCCGGCATCGACCAGGAACTCCCGCCCCTCCAGCCGCTTCTCCAGCACCCCCAGCAGGCGCCGCGTCTCGTCGGTGTAGCGCTGAGTGGGATACGGATGGTCGCACTTGTCCTTGGCGTACTTGAAGAAATGGCCGAACTGCAAGGGAGGAAGAAAATGGAGGAGAGGAACAGGTGGCTATACTTTTTACTCGTTTCACAAGCAGATGCTGAGTGGGGTAGGGGTGGACGCACTTGTCCTTGCCATACTTGAAGAAATGGCCAAACTGCAGGAGAGGAAGACAATGAAGGGGAGGAACAGGTGGCTTTTGAGTCGACTCAAAAGTCACAAATGGAGGAGAGGAAGACAATGGAGGGGAGGAACAGGTGGCAAGAGAGAAACGTGAAATTTTAATTTTCTACGGGCGGTCGCACTTGTCACGGAGACAGAGAACAGTGAAGAGAACAAACTGTAACAAAGAAACTGGAGGGGAGGAAAGGTTGCAAGACAGAAAACAGTGAAGCGAAAGAAGTGCGAAGGGGTGGAAGGACCCCTCTCTAACATAATTGTTAAAATGTCGCAAACATTGCACCTGGCCGAACATTGAAGAAGGGGAGACACGGATGCAGCATTTCCAAACTAACTGCTTTTAATCAAGTCTGCCATCTCACCTGGCCGAACATGGGACCAACCCCCCCAATTTGGAAGAAGAGCCACGACAGAGCTTCCCACCGCTGCTTTGCATCCTGGGGAAGGAATTTTCCTGACTTCTCGGCCAGATACATCAGAATTGCCCCGCTCTCAAATATGTTCAGAGGAGCTCCGTCTGCAACAAATTCGGAGTTGCAAAACAAAATCCGCCCGAGAGCGGGGAGGCGAAACGGATTTAGTGAGGAAAACGTTGGGAGACCAACAGTTGGAAGAAGGGGGAAAAAACGCACCAAAAAGAAAAGAAAAGAAAAGAAAAAAACTCAAACGGATTTATATGGTCACGTGCACGGCGTGCTGGGTCCACCTTGGGATCAACAATGGCCTTCTTAAGGTGCCGCGCGACTCATGGGATGACTTTTGAGGCTGCAAAAAACGATCAGTGCATTCGGGTGCTCACCAGGACCGCCCTTGGGATCGACGATGGCGGGGATCTTGCTGTTGGGGTTGATGGCGATGAACTCGGGCGTGAACTGCTCGCCCTTCATGATGTTGATCGTGTGAGGGTCATACGGTATCTCCATCTCCTCCAGGGCGATGCTGATCTGGATGGGTGGAGGGTGAGACAGGAGGATGCATGCACTAGTCAACTTCTAGCAAGACTAGTTGATCGTGTGCGCGTCGTACGGGATCTCCATCTCCTCCAGCGCTATGCTGATCTGGATGGGTCGAGAGTCAGACAATGTAAGGAGATAAGAACAATTAACCAGCGCGGATGTTGATCGCGTGCGCGTCGTACGGGATCTGCATCTCCTCCAAGGCGATGCACACCGGAGGGGAGAGCGATGAGAGGGTGATGTGGAGGCATTGAGAGAAAGAGAAAGAGAAAGAGACAGCGACAGAGACAGAATATAATTACTCAAGGCCTCTGGAATGGATGTGCGCATTGTAAGGCAGCTGCATCTCCTCCAGGGCGATGCTCACCTGGATGGGTCAAGTCAAGGGTCAGACATCGGAAAGAGATCGGAACAGTCAACTAGAGTAGATGCTTGCTCCTGAGTGAACTGCTCGCCCCTCATGATGCTGATCGTGTGCGCGTCGTACGGGATCTCCATCTCCTCCAGGGCGATGCTGATCTGGATGGGTAGAGGGCCAGGTCAGACATGATAAAGAGAAATGAACGACCAAGTGGCATACGACCAAGTAGATGTTGTTCGAGTGAGGGTCATACGGGATCTCCATCTCCTCCACAGCGATGCTCACCTGGATCGGGGGTTCACGCCATGGAGTAAACCCAACATTCAGCAGCGTCTTTTTTTCATTTTTTGTTTTTGTTTTCAAGGACTCGACCATTGAAGCCAATGTCTATTGTGGAGCTGATATTCTGGCCGGTTTTTAGAGGCAAGAAAGTGAACTGCCTTTGAGTTGACTCAGAACCACATCGCGAAAAACCTTGTAGCCGTTTGGGGTCGCCAGGGAGTAGAGCTGAACGCGCGACGACGAACACTCGTCAGACGCCGTAATTTGCGCAGCGACGCTGTGCGACTCAAACGATGCTGTCCGACTGGAATAAGCACATCGCATCGCCGCATACCTTCTGGCCGTTCGGGGTCGCCAGGGAGTAGAGCTGAATGCGCGACGACGACTCGTCAGACGCCATGACTTGCGCAGCGACGCTGTGCGACTCAAATGTTCTGTCCGAGTGATCTGGTTTCCCAACAAATTGGAAGTGAAGATAAGAACGTTTCGCCACAGAACGGCGGCTGAGGCGTTCTCGCTAATGGAAGCTGGCTGAACGGCAATGCAGAGGGAATGTGCCGCTGGTCTTTAGAACGCGCGTACTATGGCTGAAGCGACGTGATCTGGCTCCTAGAAATTGCCGCAATTCGACGATGCTTCTGATGCCTAGGAACCTCCCTCGAAATAGGCATGCCGGAGGAATGAACCGGCTTGTACCGGATCTCAGGTATTTTGTACAGTCTCTACAGTATTTTGTATCAGTGACAGACGTCAGCAATGCACTGGTGCCAAGTTTCTCGTGAGCAAGTCAGCTTTGCCCTCCATGCAGCGGTGCAGTGCGGTCTCTCAGCTGTACAGTCAGTTGCTTCTGATGGCTGTGTACTGGTGCTTCGCTCTAAAGCGTCTAAAGATTGCATTCATTACGTCAGTAATGCAAGTCAAATCGACATCAGTATAATCCTAAAAATAAACATAAAAGAACAAGCATATCCAACCCGACAATAAGAGACGACACCATTCGCTTTCTCAATTCCTAAATTCCCCACTCCCCACTACCCTTACATCAACACCAGTATCACATTACAGGGCAGCTAGACTCATACATGTTCAAATACGGCAGCAGCGGGGACGGCGGTGGGGCATTAGAAAACGCAATGCTCAGCTGCGGAATCGAAGCAGACCTCATCCATGCAGGCATGGACCCATGCGCCTCCCTCAGAGAATCACACCCCTTTATAGTCACCTTCCGCACCCGCTTCATCTTGCCAAGAAAATCCACCGAGCAGATCGGAAGATCCTGTAGCTCAAGCTCTTGCAGCTTGGCGAGAGAACCGGTGGAGTCGGGGAGAGAGCGAAGGGGGAGAGAGAGGAGGCGGAGAGTGTGGAGAGAGGAGAGATTGCCTAGATCCCAGGGGAGAGCGCGGAGTGTGGGGCAGTGGGCTATATGGAGCATGCGGAGGGATGTGAGGGATGAGAAGGCGGGTGGGAGGGAAGAGAGCTTGGTGTGGGAGATGGTGAGGGAGAGGAGGGAGGCAAAGGCGAAGTTGGCAGGAAGGGTGGTGAGAGGGACGTGGGAGATGACGAAGATGCGAAGGCTGGTCAGCTCGCCGAAAGACTCGGGCAGGCTGGAAAGCTGCGGCAGGTTCATCAGCTTTAGCTTCTTGAGGTTTTTCAGCTGCCCGAAGGACGCGGGCAGCATGCGCAAGTTGGTCAACCCAGTAAGCAGCAGGGACTGAAGACAAGTGAGGGATCCGAGAGAGGTGGGGAGGCTTGCGACTGGAATCCACTGGAAGTCAATGTCCAAGAGATTCTTTAGCTGCCCGAGGGACTCGGGCACCTGACGGAGTGACGTGCAGGACACACATTCCAGCTGCTTCAGTGCTGAGAGCGTTCCCAAGCTCTCGGGCAGGTTGGAAAGATTCGGCATGCTGAGCAGCACAAGCCAATGGAGTGACGCCAGCTGTCCAAAGGACGGTGGCAGTTGCGTCAGCCCGGGCAGGCGAAGGGTCAGCGACTGCAGGGTGGAAAGGTCACCGAAATTGTTTGGAAGGTTCTCTACCCGCAAAAGATCCAGCAGCTCCAGGAACTCAAGAGATTTCAGCTGCCCAAAGTTATCGGGCAGGGCAAGGACCGAATTACACCCGATCATGCGCAGCTTCTTCAGCTTTTCCAGCTGCCCGAATGAGTCGGGCAGGCCTACAAGCGCCTTGCAGCTCCAGACCTCCAGCGCCTGCAGTGAAGACAGCTGCCCGAAAGATGCGGGCAGGCTGCACAAAACCGGGCAGTTTACCAGCTGCATGGACCGCAGAGCCCCCAACTGCCCAAAATCCTCGGGCAGACTTTTCAGCAAATGGCAGTCTTTGATTATGACCGAATCCAGGCAGTGCAGATTCGCCAGGCTGGCAGGGAGAGATGCTAGGGAGAGGCATTTCTTGAGCTCGAGCGAACGAAGACGGGTCAAAGAGCCGATGCGGGAGGGGAGGGAGGTGAGCTTGGAGCAGACGTTGAGGCAAAGTTGAGTGAGGGAGGAGAGGGAGCAGAGGGAGGAGGGGAGGAGGGTGAGGTAGCGGGAATGGGTAATCTCGAGGGACGTGAGGCGGGATAAGGGCAGCAGGCTGAGGTCATCAAGCTCGGGCAGCGGGCAGGCGAGAGAAAGTTTTTGTAGGTCGTGGAAGAGGGACCAGGAGAAAGGGACGTCTGCTACCGCCCAGCCCATGTGCAACACCCGCAGGTCGAGAAACTTGATTGCGATCTCTGGGATCTGATCGAGAGTTTCAAAGCCGGTCAGGCGGAGCACCAGGAGGTTGGGCAGGTAGGAAAAACCCTTGGGCAGCTGGCTCAGCTTGTTGCATCCAGCGACCTCAAAAGTTTCCAACGAAGCCAGGGAGGAGAGGGATTCGGGCAGCTTGGCAAGATTCGTGCATTGGCTGAGGATCAGAGTCCGGAGCCGCGACAGGCTGCCCAGAGACTCGGGCAGCTCAGAAATCGCCCGACACTCAGTGATCTTCAGCTCCTCTAGATCAGCAAGCTGCCCGAGATCCGCGGGCAGCGCTTTGAGCTTCAGGCACGAGTCCAGATGCAGCGTACGAAGGTTGGGCAGGCGGCAAACGGAATCTGGTAACTCAGCAACCATTTCGTTCATAACCCTCAGGTACTGCAGCTGGGTCACCTGCCCGAGCTCCTCGGGCAACGGAAAAACATCGTGCCGCGTGAACTTGTGCGCGAGGACGCGCCTCAGCGGCACGAGATGGACCGCCGTGAGATGCGGACACGTGGCAAGCGTGGTCGCGATCGCGGGCGACAGGCACGGCGCGGGGATCTCGAGGGACGCCAGCTGGCGGAACCTGTGGAGCCCGCACGCGAGGCCACCTGGCAGGCAGTGAATGGCGGATTCGGAGAGCGAGAGCGTGCGGATGCCGTCGTTGGCGGCGTAGCGCCAGCGGTGACACGCGCACGCCGCTGCGAGCCAATCTCGAGGCGAGGTGAGGTGGGTGAACACGAGCGCGAGACAATCGTCTGGGAGGTCGGAGATAGTGGTGGAAGAGGAGGAGGAGGAGGGGGGGGAGGAGGGAGAGGGGATGGAGGAAAGCGGGGAGGAGAGAGAGGAGGAGAGCGGCTGCGCGGAGGCGGAGGCGGAGGGGGTATTGAAGCGGGTTGCGCGGAAGGTGGAGGCGGAGGGGGAGGAGGCGGGGCTGGGTTCGGAGTCGGAGGGGGAGGGTAGGAGAGACGACCCGGCGGGAGGCAGGCGGTTGTAGCGAAACGGCGAAGGGTTAAGGGCCGCTGGGAGTGGGGGAGGAGGGGGTGAAAGAAGGGTGGTAGGACGAAACGAGAGAGATGTGATTAGAGGGGGAGAGAACGAGCTACCTGCGAGGATCTTATGTTTATGCGTTCAGAGGCAGTAACGCGTCTGGGAAGGTTAAGGGAGGGCGTATCTGAAGAGGGCGTATCTAAAGAGGGCGTATCTAAAGAGGGCGTAACGGAGCAGGATGTTCCCGGGGAGTGAAGGCCGAGGAGGTACCTGGGAAGGGAGCACCTGGGGAAGGCGTATTGGAAGAGGGGGTATCAGGAGGGCGTACCTGGGGAGTGCAGGCCGAGGAGGTTGGAGGTAGCGACAGACGGCGACGCAAGCCATCCCCAGCCGTTGGATTGAGCCTCCTCCGCATCCGACGGCCTCGGCGACGGCACGTTCAACGGCGGTACGGACTCCATGCGGACGTGGCAGAGAGGACGGTTAAGCTTTTGTCGCAGCTGCGCTGACGTGACAAAACGACAAGACGCAGGAGGTCGCAGCGGGTCGCAGCAGGTCGCAGCAGGACGGCGGGTGACCAGTCAAGCGGCGGGATCAACCCAAGCAGGTCGCAGTCACGGCCGAAGTTGGCTGGAGCGCGTGGCGTCTTCTGAGTCGAAACCACGTGTCGGTGTCACCACAAACGAGAGGCAGCTGGATTAGTCGGAGCTGGTTGTTCGTAACGGTCGAATTTGAGCGTGGAGCGCGAGAGACTGGCCGAAAGGGAGACGGTCGAACCGATTTTTGGGGTGCCTCAGAAGCAGTAACGGTCGAAGTTGACTGGCGCGCGTGATACCGGGAAGGGAGGCGGCCAAAGTTGAGAGCGGCGCGCGTGTCACCGGCCGAACGGGAGACGGACGGCAGAAGCTGAGTGGAGCGCGTGGTACCGCCTGATAGGGAGACGGTCGAAGCTGAGAGTGCCGGCCGAATGGGGGGAAGCTCGAGCCGTGATGCTCCGAAAGAGCACTTTCGGAAGTGGCAGGAACCACGTTGATGCTAGAAACCCTGCTGCTAACCACAGATAACGCCAGGAACGCTGAGGAAGACTGTCCAGAGGAGCCCCGGACGGCAGAACGCGAAGTCTAGTGTAAATATCCTAGAATCCTGAGGGGTGAATTAAGAGGCAACGCGGGGTGAGAAAAGAAGTGGGAATCTGCGCTATACGGACAAATGAAGCAAATGTCGCAGCAATGTTCCACGAGTTGTTCTAGGGAGGCGATGCGACATTATTGAAAATTGTTGGCGGATATAACGTACAATGTTTACTGATGTTAGCTCTTCACAGCTACGAACGGTCGCACAAGAACCACAGCAGCGGTTGCTCACATGCAAGCTCACCTGATATTGACGGAACCCCGCAGATGCTGCGAAGCTAATCGGGATCTCGACGGTTTACGGAGAAGTCGCACGGCTGATCTTGATTTGCTCCAAAATTGCTGAATGCTAGTATTGATAAATACGAAACCCAAGCTACTATTGAGAATGTGAGGTGACGAGTCGGAGATGTGCTGGAATAAAGCCGTATTGCCAGTCTCGGATTCAGCAAGTCCTCAATGCACCACTGTGCTAACGACAGGTTGATACCGAGAAAAACAAGTAGGCACGGCAGGGCTGGAGCAATGAGCGGAGACTGTACGACACACAGGCGTACTGTACACAACTATCCTCCGCAGGTGATGGCAGAGAGACTGACACGGAGGCCAGAAATGTTGAAGCTGTTCTGCCAAGCTTCACCTGAGAGGTTCAGGCAAGAGCCAAAAACCAGCCAAAGCGGTGTAGCATGAAAGCTGGTTTTCGCCGTTTTGCACCGTACACCATCGCATACAATGTTTGCGGGACATATTTGTGACTCTTGAGACACGTCCTCCAACACAAAACTCTTGAATCAGGAGTTCCCTTCGAGTTGCCGCAAGTGCCGCTGTTGAAAGGCACTGGTGCGAAACTCTGACAGGGATGGTTGAGAGAAGCGACGGGAATGGTAGATGCTGAAATTTGTCGACTCGTTTCCTGTTGGTATAAATTAGCTCTGTAAGAGACGTTCTTACGCCGTTCTCCTCTCAAACCGAATGCTGCCTACTACTGGAACGCTTCCCTGTGACTTTCATTGCAGCATGGGAAATTCCCGGGGGGCGGAGGTGAGCGAAAAAAAAAACAGAACCATGGTTTCATTCGGCACCCGTGTTCCACGCTGCCCGAAAAAATCCTATTGCTGGATCTGCTCCCTCGAAGTTGCAAGTGTTCCGGCAGTTCCTCACCTGACGTGACGACGACAATAGAATAGCGCGGTAAGTGATTACGAGGAAACTGTCGCGGTGAATATACTTTACGATACAATCACTTCATAAAAATAACACCAACTAGAACAAACAAATTTCATATGGTGAAGAGGATTTTGCCAGCTTTATAGCAATGAGCCCATTCATCCCTATGATTCCTTCTTCACCAGTACCACTGAGGTTTCGCTGCAAGGTCATCTGCAAGGCACCATCACACAAAAAGGAACATGTGAGAGAGCCTCTAGTTGAGATGAGTGAACATACCGGTATAACTCACCAACGTTTTTCACAAACCGACCAAAATCAGCACGAAGACAATCTCTCCCAACAAATCACACCCCCGAAGCAGCTCAAACAGAAAGAGAAGGAAAACCTAACCAGCAATTCACTCCCCCTAAAGCACCACGTGCATCATCCTCACAAGCTGGAGCCGCCACAACTCACAGCACCAGCCCCCGCTCACTCTCAACAAACCGTGCTCACTTGTTCCACTCACCAACAGACCCCAAACCCCAAACCCCGAACCGCTCCCCAACAAGGCGGGTTTCTCTTTCTATCCACGTCGCCTGCGCCCTCCGCACGCTCTGCGGCCACCACACCCACATCACTGACCTCCTCCTCTCCACACCACGTCACTTCTCTCCTTACCTCCACCACAGAACAGAAATCACAACAGCTCACTCAGGCGTGTTTCGTTCCATGACAGCCGCTTGCGCTCTCAGGTCGCCACGCCCACAGCACCGTACCATCTCCTCTCACTCTCCTCTCACTCCCTCACGTGCACTCACCAACAGGGGGCGTGTCTCGTTCCATAAGTGCCACTTGCGCCGTCCGCACACTCTGCGGCCGCCACGCCCACAGCACCAGCCTCCAAGCATCCGGCACCGCGCCCACCTGCCACGCCACAGCACACGGCTCAGCCGTCCCCGCCACACACCGCACCATCCGCACCCGCCGCACCACCGGCCGCAGGCATCTAGACAGCCACACCATGTGTTTCGCGTCTATCCACCCCCCGCCTTTCCGGGCTGATAGGGACCGGCGGAGGGTGCGACGGAAGCGGTCGAACATGAAGAGAGGCGTTCGGTCCATTTCGACGTGCCGGACGTACATCCAGGCTCGGAAGTACCGAGCCGAGCGCAGGCATGGGCGTGCCGGTCCGACTTGGGAGCCTGGGGGGCCAAGCAGGGTGCCTCTGCTGGCAGTGGTGGTGCTGCTGCCGCTGGCTGAGGCGGCTCCCCCATTAAGGAAGAAGCACTTCTCTTCTATAACGACCGACATGCCATTGAACATGCAGGACTGGGCAATACCCTTCGCACTGCTCTCCCCACCCACCCTGTCCCCCTCCGCCACCCCCCCCATCACACCCATCCCATCAGCCCCATCAGCAGACCCCGTAATGTCCCTGTCCCTGTCCCTGTCACCACCACCACCACCACCACCACTGGCACTGGTACCGCTACTGCTGCTGCTGCTGCCACTGCCAACAGTGCCATTACCATTCCTGCCAGCAGGGATGATGGGCACCTCCATTTCCATCTCCACCAGCACGAACGGCACGTACATCCGCGTCAGCACCGGCAGGTCTGGCGCCCTCCTTCCAGGATGCTTCTCGTTCTTCTTCACCAGGCTGCGCCGCACGGTGAACAGCTGACCCTCTCGGAGAGAGGATGCGCGCCACAGGTCCTCCACCCGGTTCACCCGGAGAGGCGGGAACTCCTCCACCCGGCCTATCCACAGCTGCGGGTCGCCCGTGGGAGCGGTGCTGCTGCTGGCGAGCAACCGCCGCCGCGCGTTGCTTTCTAAGAGCGGTGGGTCGCCAGTGGGAGCACTGCTGCTGCTGCTGTTGCTGCTGGCGAGCAGCCGCCGCCGCTCGCCGCTTTCTATGAGCGGTGGGTCGCCTATCCACAGCTGCCGGTCGCCAGTGGGTGCGCTACTGCTGCTGCTGGTTGCTAGCAAACGCCGCGTGCCGGCGGCTCGTAACAGCTGTGGTATGCTGCTGAGGCGCGTCAAGAACGAACTGTTGGGCGCCCAGCCTTGGTCTCTGTGGCCGTTCCCATCCCTGCCTCTATCCCTATCCCTGCCTCTATCCTTCCCCCTGCCTGTATCCTTCCCCCTGTATGTATCCTTCCCCCTGTATGTATCCTTCCCCCTGTATGTATCCTTGCCCCTGTATGTGCCCCTCTCCCTGCCTCTATCCTCCCCCCTGTATGTGTCCCTCTCCCTGCCTCTATCCTTCCCCCTGTATGTATCCTTGCCCCTGTATGTGCCCCTCTCCCTATGCCTGTCCTCGTCTCTCTCCCTTCTAACTAGCGCCATGACAGGGGAAGACTGCTGCCCAGTCCCCGCCCATGTCTCTGCCCCTGCCCCTGTCTTATTGTTAGCAAGCAACCGCCTCCTGCCTCCTTTCAACATGCCCTTACCCCCACCACCTTTCTCACCACCGCCCTTCTTCCCCTTCTTCTTCGCCTCCTCCGCCCCCTTCCCCTTCCCCTTCCCCTTCCCCTTCCCCTTCCCCTTCCCCTTCCCCTGCTCCTTCCTTCTCGCATTCTCCCTCTCCCATTCTTCCTCCGCCACCCCCCTCCCTCCTCCCCCTCCTAACCCCCTCCCCCCCCTCGGCATTCTCCCATACTCCTCTAGAAGCTCGTGCAGAGAGCCGAGTCTGTCTACAGCGGGTACAAACCCGCTAGCAGCAGCCATCCAGGGGATGGCGGAGTCACACACAGACTTATCCCTGACAAGGCAGGGCACGGAGGGGGCGGGGGGGAGGTCGCCCCAGGAGGGAAGATGACGCATTTGGAAGCGGTTGAAGCCGGTGAGGGAGAAAAATGCGAGGATGAGGCGGGCTTGCTCGCTCTGGGAGGGTGGGAGGAAGAATCTGCGGCTGCGTCTGAGAGAGGGGGTGGGGGTGCCTGGTGATGCTGTTGTGGCGTTACTGCTAGTGCCGTTGCTGCTGCTGCTGCTGCTGCTGCTGGCACTACCACGACCTTCCGCCTCCACCTGGGCGCGCATGTCCTTCCCCGCGTCCCCCTCCGCCACCCACAGCAGACTCCTCAGAGACGCGTCCACAAACCCCCGGCACCACTGCCCCACAATGACCCCCCACTTGTGCCGCAGAAACACCTGGTTCGCCGTGCACACGTCATCACTGCTCTGACTGGCAAAATACACCAGGTCACTCGTGCGTATGCTCGTGGACGGGTGGTGGTACACCACCACCGACTGCGGCACGAGAAACGCCTTGTAATTAAAATACCGGGTGGTGAGCGCTATATCTAGATCCTGTCTCGTATACCCCACCTGGGGATCAAACACCTGAGCCTCCTGCAGGAAAGTATGCCGCACCAGCATACAGTGATCCTCAATCCCCACCGTCGATTCTCTCGGTTCTAGCAGCGTGGGATCGAGAGCCGCGGCGACCTCCGGGTCCTCGATGGGCTGTGGGTAGAGCTTCCCGTCGTTGCTGAAGTCGTCTAGTATCATGTCGGCCCCGAAGGCTGCGTGCAGCCGCATGCTCTCGTGCTCCGCCTTGCACCGGCTCCCTGTGTGTGACCGCCTTGCGTGCCCTAGCTCCCTGCCGCTGCTGCCACTGCTGCTGCTGCTGCCGCTACTGCTGCCGCTACCGCGGCTACTCTCGTCCCCCTCAACCCCTCCTTCACCACTTCCCTCTCCTCCCACTCCCCCTCCCCCATCCCCACCCCCCCCTCCGCCTCCCCCCCCTTCCACGATCCCATCCAGGGACATCATCCCCTTGAAGGTCGGGGCCGAGCCTCCCCCGGACTGCTCCCACAAAAACGGCAGGAAGATAACGCCCTCCCCGCCCCTCGCCTCCGCAAACATATACAGCTTCTGCAGCCACCGGTGCCCTAACGGGAACACGTCGGAGAAGATAAACAGCGCGTACTTAGTCTTAATCAGCTCCACCGACGCGTTCCGCATGGCAAACCCGCTCGCGTACCCGCTCACGTTCCGTCCCACGTCTTTCACCACCATCCGCCGCTCCTGCTGCTGCTGGTACTGCAGGGTGCCGTCCGCGCCGGGGGTGCCCCTCAGGACCGCATTCCCCCGCCACATGCCCGCGTCCGCCTCCCGCTTGCGCCTCAGCACGTGCGCCCGTGACCGATTATCCATGGAGTCCGTTATGAGGTACACGACGGGGGAGGGGGGGGTGTTCTGGAGGACGGCGTCGAGGTGCGAGGCGGCGGAGCTGAAGGTGTGCTTAGCGGAGATGACTATAGTGATGTCCTGGGCCACCTGCTCGTCTAAGGACGCCTCGTACATGTCGAATACCTCCCCCTCCTCCTCCTCCTCCTCGCCGCCCCCGCTATCGGCTCTCGCACCGCCTCTGCTGCTGCTTCCACTTCTCCCGCCGCCACTGCCGCCGCCGCCGCCGCCGCCGCCGCTGCCTCTGCCGTTGCCGCTGCTGCTGCTGCTGCTGTTGCTCGCACCGCTGCTGCTGGCATCACCGTGTAAGCCCGTGTGCTTATGGTGAGACACCGCCAGAACCCCTCTATGGTCCCGCTCCAATAGAAGCAACCTGCGCCGCTCCTCTAAACTCGTGCCAACCCCAAAAATCTGCTTATAAGACCCCGTTTCAGACCGCTTATCAGACCGCTTATCAGACCCTTCGGACCACCGATCAGTGACCCTGGCCTGAGCTGCGTCCCCATCCTCGCTATTGACATCCCCGTTATCGCCTCCCCCCTTTCTCCCCTCCTCCATCACCGCGCTTAGAAGGTCCGATACGCTCTGATCCGCAAAATCCGCCACCCCTCTCTGCTGCCATTGCTCCTCCGACCCTTCTGCCAACCCCCACCTTCCCGACCCTCGCACACCTCCGTTGCCGTTACCGTTACCGTTTCCGTCACGGTTTCCGTTTTCCCGCCGGAAGCTCTTCTCCTCCCCCAGCGGGTCGTCATCGAGGTCTATCCGCGCCTCGAGCTCGGAGTAAAGAAACACGAAGGCGATTAATATCGCTAGCAATAGTAGCAGCCGGCCGGTGGACAGGAGGGCGTCAGGGCCGGAGTGCGGCGCGGAATGCTGCCGGCGGCGATGGCGCGCGGAGAGAGGCGACTTAGGAGTCGACTGTAGAGCGGAGTGCGGGCTGGGATCGGCGTCCGCGGGATGCGCCGCGAGCGCCTGTTGCGGAGCGTGCTGGAGAGGGGAGGGTTGGTAGAGGGGTGAGTGGTGGGTGAGGGAGGAATGGTGCGGATGGGAAGGGGGGATTAGGTGGGAATGGTGGGAGGTTTGGGAGTGGGAGGTTTGGGAGTGGGAGGTTTGGGAGTGGGAGGTTTGGGAATGGGAGGTTTGGTGGAGGTTAGGGGAGTGGTCTGAGGTCACGCGGTGAACCGCTTCCTTGTGCTTGACGGTCACCATGGGCCGCTGCTGCTCTCGAGATCATCGGCCGCTGGTCTTGGGATCATGTCACGGCTGGTTCAATGGAGCTTTTGAGACGGCTCAAAACTAAACATCTAGCACTTGGGATCATAGCACGGCTGGTTCAATGGCGCTTCAACGGCTCGGCCCGCTGACGTGCTCGAATCTCCAGTGTCCGTTGTCTTTCCGATGGGTAGCTTTCTGAGAGCTCTCAAAAATCACCTACAGCTGTAGCGTGGCGTACGCTCAAATGCTTTCAGCGCTGGTGCTGGACTTGAGGGGTTCTGGATCCTAGGGATACACGATGTAACGTCTGCGGACGGAATTACCCTAGAATGTAGAAACGCATTCCACTGCGCCTCTGGGTAACCTCGTTTTGACCCAGTGGGTAGCGAGGCGTTATACACGAGCTGATCTCGTGAAAGTAAATCTGTTTTGAGGACGTCTCAAAACAGATTTACTTTCACAGGGTCTCTGGTACCTGGGGATGCACGAGCTGGTCGCATCGTCGCCAGCACGAGCTGTTCTGTCAACCAATTCCTTTATCAGTCACTATGGATAATTCTCTGTAGATCAATCACTGTCGATCAGTCACTGCCGATCAGTCACTGTAGATTATTCTCTGCGAATGGCTATACGTTAGGTATTTAGAAAACGCGAATTTTCTATCATGATCCTGTCCGAAATTTACGATCTTGTCGCGCTGTCGCTTCCTTTCCTTAAAAAAACTGCAGCTGCACCGAAGCGAGGGGATTCAGCTCGATCGGGCCCTGACCGTCTGCGACACAACCAACTAAACGACAAATCCGAGAGCCAATTGAACGGCATTCAGCTTGTTCGCAGTGTCGCTCATAGAGAGATCACGACGAGTACCCTATAACTGGGTCAGGAAGATCGTACCCTAATTCGCGTGTTCTGACTCCTGAGTTCTAAGCTCTTTAGGTCGGACGACCATGAGCAGGTAAACGAGAGATGGCGGAATGGTGTAGGAGAACAGTACTAATGTGTACGATTGGCCCAAGGTCCTGGAATGCTATGGCAGTACAGGTTGGGATGACAGGTATGGAATGGATGGTAGTACGGTTTACGGCGTTTCACCCAGGTGTACATGGGTGAAACGTTTCCTTGGTTGGGGAGTTCAGTGCTGCACTAAGGACGTGGTAAAAAAGGGGACAAACGAGGGTCGGGAGTTTTCATCGATCCGCAATATCGATGACGACGATCGATTGGACTCTCGATATTGCGGAACTATCAACACCGATCTTGCAAATCGAGAAAGCCCAACCTTCCACACGTCGAGCCGCGCAATCCCGGGGGTCATTTGCAGCTTTGCAAAATTGGGGATTCGCGAAAAACGCACAACACACGGATACCGGAAAATGTCGTCGCAAATGTCAATACGAATTTCCTGCCGAGGCACATGTTCAAAATTTGTGGAGTTTTTGGGCTGGAGCCGCGTGCCTCTTTTTCGCACACTCGCCAAAAGATTCGTGCGCTGGAAGTATTCCCGCCTGACGAATATTTGGCGACACGAGGAAAGTGGGTCTGTGGCGACTGGTACGTGCACACCGAATTGACCGGCCGAAGCGGCGTTAAGACGATCGATCGCACAACGAGGCCACATCGATCGGTACAGTCATCTTGACTGCTGACACTTTCGATTCTGTAGAGGTGTTACAAAATAGAGGTGTTCAAGATTGATCTTCAGTCACGATCGATCATATACTCTTACCACGTCATATTAGGACGGGAAAGGACTATCTGCGGTAGGTGGGATTCAAAATGGTTTTCTGTGCTTGACGGAAAATAATCGGAGACCGACGGGAGATGTCCGCATCAAGGGCGGCATGGCACCTCCATGAGAGTCGAGAAGTTTAGCGACTTTGGATTTTTATTCACACCATGTGTTACGTGTGATTTCTCTCTAACAAAGTTGAAAGTGATGTCCTCGTCCCTAAGGTGCGTCTAATGCCAGTTTCAAAGCCGTCCTAGTTACTGCTTGTCATTACCAGCTTTATGACTTCTGCCATACCTCTTGCAGAAAAATGTAAGCGGTAGACATAATAATGACTTCCGTCATAATAATTTATTTTCTGAGCAGCCCTGAAACGTCCCAGCAACGGGATTCCGTCATCGCCCATCACCGTCCCCTGATGGGTTAGAACTTTGAAGCCAGTCAAAGGTGGTGAGGGAGCGGAGAGCTGGGAACGGGTGGCTGATTGGTCAGGTTCAGCTCGGGGGAAGGCTCCTTGAAACTACACAATCCTAAGGATCTATTTTTCCTGCGTTTACGTCCAAGGATACAAGCAAGTAACAGCCTGCCCAAACTGGATAAGCTATGGGTGAGAATGCGACAGCTGAAGTGCCACGAGGTCCGAACAACTGCTAGAACACTCCTCGGAGAATGCCCTGGTTTGGCTTGACCAGGTTGCTGCGCTGCGCATCGCTGCAAGGTTCGGGAGGGGAAGGTGGCGGCTGGGCAGGCCTGGGCAGGGCAGGGCAGCCAGTCAAATGCCAGCCGTCAGAAAACTTCTGCGTAAACCGTCGTAGTCACAATAACTCGTTACAGCCTGTAGCACAGTTTTTGGTGGATTGTGAAAACATTTAGCAAATGTTGAAACTAAATCACGTAGGTCCATTCCAGACGGGAATCGGTGTTTGTAATGGCGAGAACCAAGTAAATTTGTCACAGAATTCTAGGATTTGTAGTCCCAGCTCAAGAGCATATCATTAGCTTGCTGCGCTGACATCTTTCCGTGTGCGCCTCGTCGAATGCCTCCGACGCGTCGCAGGAATCTAATAGCTAGCAGGCCAAGGACGTCGAGTCAGGAGGAGAGGCACCTCAGTTGCACCAACCAATTTCCGCGTGACGGATCGATTGTATTTCGAATTTGGACTAATTAGATTCCCCGGCCGTTGTTTCCCGCCTCCGCTGTCCTCATGGTGTCAGACACACCAAATCCGCGATCCGAAGCCGACACTTTACCCGGTTCTTCTGTCCCGCCAAGCGTTACCACCCGCGTCGCCTTCATACTAATCGATGGGATTGGTGACGTGGCAGTCCCGTCCCTCGGCGGCCTGACGCCGCTACAGGCGGCAAATACACCGAATTTGGACGCGATCGCGGCGGCCGGAGTTAACGGGCTAATGGACCCCGTAGAACCCGGACTAGCTTGCGGCAGGTAGGGAGCGCAGGGGGGATGAAAGTAGGGGGAAAGAAGGGGGGTGTCAGTTAAGGCGCATGAAGAGAATAACTTCAAGGTTCTAAGGACCTTGAATCTCGCCAGGTGTTCTTTTTTAGGCGCCTCAAAAACAGGTGTTTTGTGTCACGGCTGGTTGGTTTCGCCCCTCCGCAGGTTCAAGGCCCTTAGAACCTTGAAGTTATTCTGCTCGCTCGCTTTAACGGAAATGAAAGTAGGCGGAAAGGGGGAAAGAGGCTGTTGAAGGCTGTGGTTGAGGATCCGATGAGAGGATGTCCTGCTGCTCTTCCTCCTGCTGTCTGTCTGTTTGCAGTGCCATGGCCACGGCGCGCATCGCTCTCTCCTGCGCTACAACCCCCGCCGGCACTGCAGGGGCCAAGGCCGCATGTCATGGCTCACATCCCATTCCCCCGTGTACTCTCGCACGCAGTGACACGGCGCACCTCTCCCTGCTGGGCTACAACCCCCGCCACCACTACAGGGTCCAAGGCGCGTTAAAGTCCATGGGCGATTTTGAGTCGACTCAAAAACGCTGGCATTCCCCCTTCCCTCCCCATTCCCCCCCCCTCCTCACACACACATGTCCTCACACACACATGTCCTCACACACACATGTCCTCACACACATGTCCTCACACACACATGTCCTCACACAGTGACACGGCGCACCTCTCCCTGCTGGGGTACAACCCCCGCCACCACTACAGGGGGCGAGGGGCGTTCGAGTCCATGGGTGCTGGCATCCCCATGCAGCCTGGGGACATAGCTTTCAAGGTGAGTAAGGAGATGACTTTTGAGTCGACTCTGAAGTGTTACGTGTGATCAGTTACCCTACACTGGTCCATGGGCGATGGCATCCCCATGCAGTTCACATCCCGTGCGATGGCATCCCCATGCAGTTCACATCCCGTGCGATGGCACATAGCTTTCATGGTGAGAAAGAGGGGTGGACATGGTTATGGCGATAAAAGGGGTGTTCAGATCGAGGTTGGGAATGGGGGGGGGCCATGTGGGGAGGGATGGGGGGGGGCATGTGGGGAGGGATGGGATGGGAGGGGCATGTGCGCATATTGTTAACCCATGCAGTTCGGGCACATAGCTTTCATGGTGACGGGTGCTGTATGTAACCTAGAGTAGTAGCGTGTATTGATTAGTTTTGAGGCGCCTCAAAACTAGACGGGTGCTGTATGTAACATGGAGTAGTAGCGTGTATTGATTAGTTTTGAGGCGCCTCAAAACTAGACGGGTGCTGTATATAACCTAGAGTAGTAGCGTGTGTTGATTAGTTTTGAGGCGCCTCAAAACTAGACGGGTGCTGTATATAACCTAGAGTAGTAGCGTCTATTGATTAGTTTTGAGGCGCCTCAAAACTAGACGGGTGCTGTATGTAACCTGGAGTAGTAGCGTGTATTGATTAGTTTTGAGGCGCCTCAAAACTAGACGGGTGCTGTATATAACCTAGAGTAGTAGCGTCTATTGATTAGTTTTGAGGCGCCTCAAAACTAGACGGGTGCTGTATGTAACCTGGAGTAGTAGCGTGTATTGATTAGTTTTGAGGCGCCTCAAAACTAGACGGGTGCTGTATATAACCTAGAGTAGTAGCGTCTATTGATTAGTTTTGAGGCGCCTCAAAACTAGACGGGTGCTGTATGTAACCTGGAGTAGTAGCGTGTATTGATTAGTTTTGAGGCGCCTCAAAACGAGACGGGTGCTGTATACAACCTAGAGTAGTAGCGTGTATTGGTTAGTTTTGAGGCGCCTCAAAACTAGACGGGTGCTGTATATAGCCTGGAGTAGTAGCGTGTATTGAGTCCCCTTACACTGGTCCATGGGCGACGGCATTCCCGTGCAGCCTGGGGACATTGCTTTCAAGGTGACCTGTGCTTGTTGTATGATGACTGGTAATGCGTACCGAGTAGTCTTATGATGAGTATATCCATGGGCGCTGGCACTTCCATGCAGCCAGGCGACATCGCCTTTGTGATGAGAGCTGTTTAACGTTTCATGTGAGTAATAACGGGTACTGAGGCGTCCTATAAAGAGTCCTTGGATGCTGGCAGGCATGCCCATGCAGCCAGGCAGTATCCCTTTCAAGGTGAGGTGCCTGTTCTATACCCGTACTTTTGTATGGAGGAGTAGTAATGGGTATTGAGGCGTCTGTTAACGAGCCCGTGCATGGGTGCTGCCATGCCCATGCAGCCTGGCAATATTTCTTTCAGGGTGAGGTGTTGGCGTAATCAGATATAGGAGAGTAGTAGCACATTGTGAGTCATCTTACAGTGAGTTCGTGGGGGCTGCCATTCCCCTGCAGCCTGGCAATATTGCTCTCAAGGTGGGAGTTGGTTCTTTCATGAGGTGTCTTGTAACGGGCATTGGGACGTCCTATAGTGAGTCCGTTCGCACAGGGGTGGTGGTGAAGCGGCGGGCAGGACTCCCACTCATCTCTCATCCTCCCCCTCCTATTCCCCCTTCTTTCCCCCCCCTCCCCCCCCCGCCCCCCGCTTCCTTTCCCCCTTCCCCTCCCTTTCCCCTCACCTTCCCCCCCCCGGTCCCCCTTCCTCAGAGCAACTTTGCAGTCTAGTTTTGAGGATAGGAGTCTCAAATCCGCGTGATAGGAGTCTAGTTTTGAGGCGCCTCAAAATCCGCGTGATAGGAGTCTAGTTTTGAGGCGCCTCAAAACTAGACTCGCCTTCCCCCCCCGGGCCCCCTCCTTCAGAGCAACTTTGCAGTGATTGACGAGGCCACGGGGGTGGTGGTGAAGCGGCGGGCGGATCGGCACTTTGAGGAGGAGGGGCCAATCCTGTGCCGCCACCTGGACGGGTTGAAGATTCCTGGATTTCCGGACTACCAAGTCAGCATCAAGTACGGCCCACTTTTGTTTTTTCTGCTTCTATTTCTTCCAGTTTCCGTGCTTACTGTATCATCTCTGGTTGTATTTTGACTCGTCTAAGTCTTACGCATGATGCTCATTATTATTCCTTCTGCTTCCGTTTTTTGCTTCCTCTTGTATCTCTCCATGTTATTTTCTACTTAACTTCTCCCCACTCCCCCCCCTCACACCCTACCCAGGTACGCCACGGAGCACAGGTGCGGCGTGGTGGTTCGGGGCCCGGGCCTGTCGGACAGGATCGGCGGCACTGACCCTCTCAAGGATGGGCGGCCGCTAGGTGTCGCAACACCATTGGACGATACGCCTGAGGCGGATCTGACGGCTCGGGTGGTGAACGCGCTGAGTGATGCCATCCGGGCAGAATTGAGATCGCACCCAATCAACGCGCAGCGGGCAGCGCAGGGAAAGAACATGGCGAACGTCGTTCTTTTGAGGGGCTGCGGAATCAGGATCGAGGTGAGGTGTGAGGTGATGCATGGATGCATGCATGCATGCATGGGTGTATGGATAAATACATGGTGGCATTGACTAAGACCATCCAAGGTGTGGGATTTAGCCTCACATTTGCCACTCATACGGCCTTTCGAGGTTCCATCCACGCCCAGTCATACCATCCATCCCCTCATCCAACTCCAATCCCCCACTTTTCAAGACAAGCACGGCATGCGAGCGTGCGTGGTGCCACCCACGACGATCCAGCAGGCCTGGGACTCAGCGTCCACATTGGAACTCCCACTGACAAGTGATCTTCATACTCCCCTTTTATTCCATGCTCTCATTCCCCGTTCTCGCTGTCAAGGACCAGCATGGACAATGATCCTGCATGGGGCCCCCGACCAAGATCATTCCAGGCTTGGCATTTGGCCTTGGAATCGACACTTATGCTGACACGTACCCTTCGTACGTTGTGTCCCATGTTCCGAACTTTAGGTGCGTGCATTCAAGGACAAGCATGGCATGCGAGCATGCATGGTCGCACCCACCAAGATCATCGCCGGTTTGGGTCTCAGCCTCGGGATCGACATTCTCCACGTACCTGCAGCCACGGGCGACTACCGAACCTGCCTCGCCTCCAAAGCTGAAGCCATAGCTGCTGCCCTGTCCACCGTACCTCCTCCCCTTGCCTCAGGCAAGATCGACCAAACCAATCAAGGCGGTCAGATCGGACAGATCGGTCGATCTGCTCCGTTGATTTCAGTGCCTGGGGAGGATGATCCGAGGGAGGGGTGCAGGGAGGGGTACGAGTTTGCGTTTCTGCACATCAAGGCGGTGGACGATGCCGGGCACGACAAGGCCGTTGATCTCAAGGTGCGCGCGCTGGAGGCCGTTGATCGCATGGTGGGGCAGCTGGCGCACCGCCTGTGGCTGGTGCAACGGGAGAGGGAGAAAGAGGAGCAGCGGAACCAGGAGCAGGGGCAGTTAGAGCAGCAGCAGCAGCAGCAGCAGCAGCAGAAGCTGAGGTTCTGTCTGTGTGTGACAGGCGACCACTCCACGCCAATTCTCTACGGGGACCACGCAGAGGAGCCCGTTCCCTTCGCCATCTGCGACCTGGCTGACTTTGTCCATGCTGTGCCGGGGGGAGAGGCCGCTGTGTTTGGCGCAGACCTGAGCCCCTTCCCCATCCCCACTGCTGCCACGGTGGCTGCAGCGGCTGCTACAGCAGTGGGTAGTGTGGCACCAGGTGAAGGAAAAGGGGCGGAGAAGAAGGGGGTGGGGTCGGTGCCAGGTGCGGCTGGTTCAGTGGCAGGGGATGCGGTGGCCAGGTTCAGTGAATCTGGGGCGGCGAAGGGGAGCTTGGGCCGGTTCCCAGGGTGTGAGATGCTGCGCATCATTAAATGGTGGTCCGGGCGAGGATGCTCAGCGCAGACATGTCTACAGGAAGGATACTAGTATTTATCAGGTGGGATGTCTCTCTGTGACATGCGTCTTCAGTTGTGTAGGTTGACCGGCAAGTGTCAGAGTTATTTTAGACTCCACTACCACGGAACACATCTGTACAGGAATGCTATGTCATGGAACATATTTCTATCTGAAACACCACAATGGTTTGACAGACGAACAAGGACTGTATTGTCTTCTTGTTGGGATCCAGGGGTGTTTACATGTATAATGGCGGAAATGGACAAACAATTCTCCATTCTCAGAACTATTGCCACGGCACCATGGAGAACAAATAAAATGCTACATTCTGGACACTATAGCACAGTGGGGAGATGGTTGTTGAGGTTGAATGTCACTCTGTTGCCTTCTCCACAGCAGCAGGGGCGGCAGCAATCTCTGCTGGCTTTACTTCCACCGGCCTGTGAGGGTACACAATGGGCACACGATGGGCACACGACGGGCAGACAATGGGCACACGTTCAGACAACGGAACCGCTTAAACCAGCATCCGGGCTTGTAGAAAAACTGGCAACCACGGATGGCTGGGAATCAGGCATCATTCATCCAGGCATGTAGTCAACCATGCAATCTTTGGACGAAACGAAATACATCAAGCAGGGTGGAAGGGGATCCAAAAGGAAAACTAATGGACTCACTCTGACAACGCTTCCCACCCAGGAGACAATGCTTGATGTCAAACGCAGACTTACCTAAGAAACTGACCTGTCTGAAGAAACTGGCTGTGACTGATGCTAAGTCTGAGACGGCTCATCAGAACAGATTGACAGACTGTGACTGGCCGGTAGTTTTGGCTAGCCGAGGACTTACTCTGAGAGGGCCCATCGCGAGAGCTGCACGAGTTGGACGGTCTCGTTGGCGGAGTGGCAGGAGAAGAGGAGATAGTTGCGCGGCTGCACGCGCCACGCGAATCGCATGAACAGCGCGGAGTACACGCACATCACTGCGGTGTGGGAAGGACAGAAGGGAAGGGGGGGGGGTGGTTGGGGGGGAGGGGGGGGGAGGGGAAGAGGGGAAACGAAGAGATCGGGAGGAGGATCGAGCAACGAAGTGAGATCAATGAACGGTGGTTGATAGTGGAGGTGAGCGAAAGCTGGTCGAGACAGATTGGCCTTGTTATGGGAAGGATAGTTTGATACTTCAAATAACAGCAGACAATGCACGACGCTGAGTTTACAGGCCGTGAACTACTTGGAGGAACGGACGGGAATGAATAATATACGAGAAAGAGCAGGAGGCCAAATCTTGCAACATAGTGGGGAAAATGGGATTTGATGTGCGTTTTCGGCAGGAGGACAGTAAGAAAGGGAGGGATGGACAGTGAGAGTCAGAGACGACCACACCCATGAGGCCTTAGAGCTGTAACCTTTTGTTTCACGTTATCGTCCAAAAGGACAAGGCGGGTTCCAGATTCACGTGAGCTCCATCAAACATCTTCGAACACTTCATAGAGATCATTAAATATTGGGGTTTGGTCCGTAAACAAGCAGATCACGTGTTCAATTACCGACCTGACGTCATCTTCGGCGAGATCATGTCGACTGGCTTTTGCATGTCCACTAGTCCCTGAAGATCAAACGAATCGAGAAGCAGAATGAACGCAACAAATTGGAAGAAATAGAATCAACGAAACTGATAGATGATCAAGGTGAATGCAGGTGCAGGCAACTGTAACTGATACTAGGCCAGCCTGAAACCGCCGAGAATGTGCGCGTGGACTTTGAACTTACCGCAATGACGAATCCCCAGTTGGCCAAGGGACCCCAGAAATGCGACGTCTTGGGACCCACTGGGCTGTTCCAGAACGCTTTCGCGGCTGCTGCTGCCATGTTGGCTCGTTTAAATCTTGTTTTAACAAAAGCGAGCGGCGGACACAGCAGCAGCTCCCTTGAAAGAGCGAGTATCAAGAACTCTGCCAAGAGACGTTAGCGATGCGATGGCTCAGCAGCGAGAAGCACGCTGCTGGAACTGGTCCCTTCCTGGTTAGGATGGGATGGCGTTGCTGTGGAGTTGATCTGCTGGATGAAATCTAGAAGGCCTTCAAGAATGAATGACTCGAAATGTGGTGATGGCGGAAAAGGTGGTGGTGGTGGTGGGGGCCTAGAAAGTTAGCGGATTGCAGTGGGTTTGGGAAGGGTGAAAGACGCTGTGGTATGGTGGAGGGAAGAACGCGGGAAGCATCAGCGGAGGCTGTGATTGGTTGGACATAGGAGGTTGACTGTCTGGTTGTCCCAAGGCTGGCTCTACCTCAGAATGGAAAAAATGCCCAGAGTGTCTGGTTCTGAATCTTTCGGAAACAAGATGTGTGCGGTGCGACCCCCTCAATGGTTTGCTAAGAGTGAGACTTAGCGGTGATGTGCCTCGCGGCTGTAACCCTCCCAGGCATATGCCAAATAATTGTAGACCATTGATATACTCAATGCTCATCTGGGGAAGTTGAATGTCTTCGTATCCTAACCCCTGAACACCGTTCTCGAGTCTGCTGCAACACACAAAAAGTAAACTGCCAGTGCCACGTGTAGCAAACAGCGAAGACGAATCAGCAGCACTGTTCCCAGAGATTGGGGGATCTTTTCACCAGACGAGATCCACGTAGGAAGGCACAATATTTTGCAGGTTTCAACCCACTGGTCAGTGTACATGCTGCTTGCTTCTTGTACTCGTGCCTTATGATTCCGAAGTTTCTCCAATTATATTATCATTCACATCCTAGTGATTTAACGTACCTTCTATGAGATGATAGGAGGATTACTCCATGGTAAGTACTTTGCCTGTAAGAACAGGTATTCTGCAAATAGTAGGTTGGGGGCATATTGTAACAGTGATGTTTCACACTTCAAACGGATTGGATGCATATGCAAGAAGATGCCTTGGTTTGCTGAGGTTGAATGGCTTGTGGGGAAAGATAGTCCAATCCATAGGTGACAAGGAAAGATTTGAGGGAGATCCAACTAAGCCAGATGAAGCATGGCTACATTGTTTGGACATACGGTAGCAACTCTTTCTCATCCTTCCCATGTTCCTCCGTGTCTCATAACCCCCCACCTGCCGTCAGTCGCTCCGTGTATCATATGCGCCCAGGGACCCTGCACTGCTCGCATACAGGATGCAACCAGGCGCCATGCATCCTGCTGCAACTGCACACACTTCGCTACTATAAGAAGCTCTCACTTGGTTTGACTACAGGAATCACACACGCATGAGCGGCCTGATTGGGCGTCTTATATACCTATAAACACTTCAGACACAGTAGTGCGAGTTGCACGGAAGCCCATTGGCTGTAATGCTGCTGCCGTCAGAGAGTCAGAGGGTTGTACCAATCGAACACTAGCGGTGATGCCTGCTGCTGTCTCGTACCAGCGAAAGACCAGATACCTGCCATGGACACATCAGAATCGCAGCCCACCACAAACACAATCCAGATGCGTTAGATCCTTGTCGATAGAACCTCCTGGCATTGGAAAGTCAGCAGATCGCACACTCACGAAGGTTCATCCGGAAGCGGAACTCTCGAAACCAAGTCAACGCTATTAGTAGTACGCCACGTATAAGAGCTACCCAGTGAAGAAAAGGGTATGCGGAAATGCTCACAGATGGCGAAAAGGTGGTGTGCCCACTGGGTACTTGATGGGTACCTGAGCAAGAAAGTTACCTGAGCTTGTTGAGGGGCTGAACGACGAGGGGGAGTGTTGCGCGGCTGGAGCCCGATCTTGGCGATGCCGCTTGATGGTGATGCTCCGGGTGATGCGAGGAGCGCTGTCGGAAGTACCAGCTGCCGCCTCGCTGCCATGGTGCCTACTGCGGCCAAAATCTGCACAAATGCAGAGAGGTAATTCAGCAGCATGGAATCAGCATCCGGGAGAAAACGAGATGGAAACGACACACGAAGGAGCCGAAATGCCATGCGTGGAATGCAGTCACGCGTGGAGTGCACTCTGAAACCTGCCACGGCGGGATGCATCACGGTTGGGAAGCATCAGCCTCGTAGGCTCCGCCGAGCAGAATGGTACCTGGAGGGTCCAGAGTGGAGCGTGGGGAGCTGGAGAGGCTGTCTTCCCGATCTAGCTTCGTCGCGGGGGAGCACGACGAGGCGGGCAACACTGGCATCTCCGCTCCGCACAATTGTGCTCGGCCCTTCACCTCTTGGAACATTCTCGCTAGGAGCCTCATGTCTTGAACCATTTGCGAAGACGCGAGACAGCTGAAGGCGTCGGATGAGATTGACCGAAGGGAGAGGTCTAAACGAACGAGAAACGCTCCAGCTGCTTTCCAGATTTGGCCGTAGGAAGACCCGTACAACAAATAGGTTGTAGGGTAGGACTTCTGACCTTTGGGCGGGATAGGAGAACTGAGACAGACTCGGAGGGAGGGAGGCGGAAGAGGGGATTTGTGCTGGGTGTGGTGGTGGGGGGGAGCAGCAACGAGGTTGCGTGAGAGACTTTGTACTGTACGTACTGTGGGTGAGTCATCGCAGAGAGTTGCTGACTAGGGAGGTCAGTTGGGACTGGGCTGGAGAATATCAGTCAAACGTGTGTGTGGCTGTGTGTGCTGGAAAGAGAATGCGCCAATCAGGGACGAGGGCGGGTTTCCCCACGATTCGCCACCACCTGGCTGGAAAGACAGCGCCGCAAAAATTGTCAAGTGCACCTACCAGGGGGGATGGTTTCGTGATACGGGTGACGTGGCTCTATCCCAACTCACGAATGCTGGCGAATGGAAGGGCGGAAAAAGAACCACCCTCATGACGTTACTTGGATCAGCACCCAGCACGCTGATGTGGCGCAGACGCGATGCGAAATCAAGCTTTGTTTGCCCCAAGGAACACTTTGACTGACTGTCAGAAGTTTCGAACCCGAGACTTTACTGCGAGAGAATGGATTTCTGAAGTGTGGGAACATGTGGAACTTCTATTTAGCAACTTCTATTCTCTCTTCTGATCAGTAAACATGAGCACGATTATTTCCTGTGAAGGTATGAAACAAACCGCCTACGTATGGTCGGGACTGCTTCCACTAAAACTCCTTCGCAGGAGCCAAAGAAAACGAACAACCAGCAATCATGAAAAAAGAAACCGAGGGAGATACATCCCCCAAAGTAGGTAGCACGTATTTAAAAAGTTCTCTCGTTGAGGGATCACTTGGGTGCATTCTTGTTGGACTCTGCTGCAGACGCCTCGTCCTGCGGCGTAAGGCTGCCAATGGAGGAGAGCTTGCCAAAGGCCTCTTTGGCCGTCCCAAACTTATCATCCACAAACTCCTTGGCCTTGTCAAACACAGACTTGAGCTCCTCAGCTGGAGGCATCTGTTGGGTGATAAGGCGAGGGGAAGAGAGCAGTCCCAATAAGGAGAGTACAAGTGAGTCAGACAAATATTGGCCAAAGGAGAGTAGCCGCAGGGGCTGCTCTGCCTACATGGCAGCTCGTGTTGTAAGGTATTCATGGCAGTTGGTGTACTACTTCAGCAACGATTTATTGCTCACTCACCTTCACAACGTCTGAGCCATACATGGCGGCTCGTGGATTCGCAGGATCCTGAGATCAAAGAGAAACAAACAGGTACAAGAACAGAGTCAGTTGTAGAAAACCGCAGCACACAACAATGGTCACATGCACACATACAGTGCACGCCTAACCTAGAACCATTACACATGCACCCCTCCCACCGCATACCATGCCATGCATCCCCACCGCATACCATGCCATGCATCCCCACCGCATACCATGCCATGCATCCCATCCGCATACCATGCCATGCGTCCCCACCGCGTACCATGCCATGCATCCCATCGGCGTACCATGACTTTGTAGCCATAGTGGTATCCTGACGCGCAGGACAATGGCTAGAGTCCATGCAAGAACCATGACACATGCATCCATGCATCCCCACCCCACCGCGTACCATGACTTTGTAGCCATAGTCGTATCCTGACGCGCCCTTGAGCATGGGGTATTGTCTCAAGGCGGCGTTGCGGAGCGCCTTCTCATCCTGGCAATGACAACACACGGCACACAGCAACGACAACACACGGCACACAGCAACGACAACACACGGCACACAGCAACGACAACACACAGCACACAGCACACAGCAATGACAACACACGGCACACAGCCATGACAACACACGGCACACAGCAATGACAACACACGGCACACAGCAATGACACCACACGGCACACAGCAATGACAACACACGGCACCACAACGCAATCAAGAGACGAAAGAAAACATCTCATGAATTCGGCATCTCATGAGTTCGACATCTCATGAATTCGGCATCTCAATTTCCCTTCCCCCCCCCACACAGGTTGTCAGCTCGCCCCGATTCTCTTTCCTACGGAATCATCTCCATTCGGTAACTAAGGTGGATTCCTCCTCCTCGTTTCTCGATACTCGTCCTCTCCCTGCACAGCACTCACCCGTGCAGAGATACTCGTTCTCTCTCCATAGACTGGCAGGCGAATCTCCCTTGTCGCTTCTCTTCACCCAACCCAGAGTGTGAACCACAGGCTGCAGACGCGCCTCGTAACCACCATTCGCCGCCCCCCCCCCGATCAACCCAATCCACCACCTCCCAACCCCACTGCTCACCATACTCCAACCCACGTTGATCATCATGTTGCGCGTGAGCATGCCCTCATACGGCTTCTTCCTTACCCATCTCTCATCTGCCTCCACCCTGCCTTACCACATAACTCTCCCACCCACCTTTTCCACCACAGCAGCGATGTTGCGGGTGCGCGTGCCCTCGTACATCTCGACGCCTCTCTAACTCAAACCTACCTTAACCCCACCGAACCACCCCCCACCCACCCCACAAACCCACCTTGTACACCACAGCAGCGATGTTGCGGGTGAGAGTGCCCTCGTACAGCTTCTTGCCCAGGTCGTTCCGCATCACCGCCAGCATCATTTTGGCTGCCGTGCCGCCCGTCACCACGCTCAGGGGATACCAGCGGTTCACCTGGAGTAAACGCCAGACAGAGGAGGTTAGCTTTTGAGTCGACTCAAAAGCAGACTCAGGGGATACCAGCGGTTCACCTGAAGTTAACGCCAGACAGAGGAGGTTAGGGGACGACCGAGGGAGAGTTACAACGGCATAGTTTCCCCCTAACCGACTAACGTGTGATGGTAAGTTAATTGTGAGACATCTCAAATTTAAATTACTAGCACAGGAGTGGTGGATAGTTTCCCCCCTAACGCCTATCATCCCTGTACCCCCGACGAGTCGGATATGTGATCAATGTACGGCGGAATAAATATGATATCTCGAATGCTCAGATTATATACCAACGGCACGCGCGCTGAGTATGATATCTCGAATACCCAGATTTTAGTCATAAGGCTGAATATGTTCTTAACGTTTCAGAACGTGGTATTCTGGAACGGTCAGTTACCTAGCGGGAGCCGAGGCTAAATCAGGCTGCATCCATTTCGCTCCAGTCACTCGGCTGTCAGTACAACACGGGCAGAAGTTTGACAAAGCTCCCAAACCCTAAACTTGCAGCATGTGCGTAAGCTACAACGACCGACCCATCCCGTGTAGACGCGTCCTCGATTCAACTACCTGAGGAGCAGGCGCAACTACCGCGAATGCAGTGTCGCAGTGACCGCCTTAGTCTTGGTCCAGAGCACGAAGCGGGCAGTTTCGTCTGAAGTCCTCTCTAAGTCGTCTCACATCGCACTTACCGCTTTGGTCTTGATGAAGAGCACGAAGCGGGGAGTGTCGTCTGACGGGTCGAATTCCGGCATGGATGGTTGCTGCTGCTGTTGTCTTCTCGCGTAGTTCTGGTTGCTCTTCTTCCCCTTCGCCTCCACCACCAACCTGCAACCCCAATCCCGACGACACAACAGTGCAACCCCCGGGAAAGATATGTCTTTTGGGTCGACACGAGGTTATTCCCCTTCGCCTCCTCCACTAACCTTCATTCACAACGACACGCTGATAGATTCTCGGAGACTGATAAAACTTCTGGAGTGCTGTAAAGCGAGGGGAAACACACCTGGAGTGCTGCCGTCCTGCCGTCCTGGTTGCATCCTGGCGAGGTCTCGAGACGAGCGACGTGGACGACGTGCGAGAGGACGACGACAGCGACGACGCTGTCTCCGAACCGAGCCCTGCCGCGCGAAGGCTGCGACATAAAAATTCGGGACATTGAGGGATTCGACAACGTAAGGATATTGGCAGATCATCAGGATTACGCGACTGGCAAGTTAGCGAGCGGTACTTAGGGAAATCTTAGGCTGCAGGGTCAATGCAAGCAAGAGAAGTTTTACCTGGACGAGCTGCAATTGGTCAAGGCAGCCATTTTCTGAACGTCCTAGGCCTCTCCGAGCGGAGGCGAGGTAAGGTAAAAAGAACACAATACTCTTCCCTGTTTCTACAGAGGCCTTGGTGCTACGAGGCGAGGTCAGGAAAAGAAAGGAGCTAATGAAAGGACTGAAACAATGGAGGTGAATTAGTTACCAGCCGGGTCAGATTATGGACTGCCAGCGTGGAGGTCCTAACCGGAATGCAAGTCGTGGCGAAGCCTCCTGCACTCAAGGAGACAATAGTGGCGAAGAAATCCGAGGTGTCAATGGTGGACTCGTGGCGCTGCCTTCGCCACTAATGGCTGGCGAAGAAGCGTAACTAGGATATCACGAATTGGCGAGGCTGTGCGATAAGGCCGCCAGATTGTTGCCGCGCACGATGGATGGGGTGGTCTGCCACAATTCGCTCAGGAACTTGAAGATCTTGAGCGGCCAATGAAAGCACGTTATATTGGATAGGTGACGTGTCGAAGAACCTTCGTTTCCAATTGTCGTAGAGTCAAACATAAGGAGGGTAAAGTATAGAAACACTGTAGATATTACAGAGACCTTTCAGTAACGAATTATTCTGCAAGGGAGTAGAAATTGACCTGTTGCCAGAACCCAGGCACGGCGGGAAAATCGTCGCGCCCTGTCCGACTTCAAACGCGGCTGCGCGCGGAAGCAGCAGAGCCATCAGACTGTCCTACGAAATCCTGGATGGGTCGCAAAACGTTAACGACAGGTTTCGCATATTCCAGGCAGAAAGACTACAGCATCTGCGACATCACAACTGCGGAATAAAGCTTCGCGCAACAGGTGGTTGGACAGGGCTATTTGCGAAGTTGGTGTAACCTCGGCTAGCGAGATCAGCGCGACACCAGGAGCAGAATCCCTCTTTGGATTCCACCATCATTCCCTTGGGCCTTCCTTCTGCGAGCTGCTGTGTTCCAGCAGACCCAGGGGGGTCCCTCCCTGCTTTTTGGCCTTTCCCTCTCTTCGGGAAATTCTTCACCTAGGGATCTCACCTAGAGATTTCACCTAAGGATTTCATCACCACCCGTTTAGGATATCCTTTGCCTCCCGGTTTAGTGCCAAGGCAGACGAGATCAAAATCTCGTTTCTGTGTACCTCAGTTTCTCGTGCGAGAGCCTCCGTGATTTTCCGGCCTGTTAACGTTATCTCTTGTCCTTACTCCGCCATGAAAATCCCGCAGAAGATTCAGGCCGCCTTAGATGAGGGGAGGAAGGTGTTTTCCTTCGAGTACTTCCCTCCCAAGACCGCGGATGGCGTCGAGAATCTGTTCGATCGCATGGATCGCATGGTCGCATACCAGCCAGCGTTCTGCGACATCACATGGGGAGCAGGCGGATCGACGGCAGATCTCACCCTAGAGATCGCCACCCGCATGCAGAACAATGTCAGTGCTTCAAATCATAGATTTCTCCAACCACACACACAGAGTATAAAAGCGCACACTTGTCATTCTTTCCCTTCAGCACTTCTCATCCCAGGTTCTAGTCTGTCCTACGATTTGTCATGGATCTTATCCCTCCGCATCGCTCCCTTCGTGCAGATCTGCGTGGACGCGTCCATGCACCGCACTCACGTGCACCAACATGCTGGTGAACTGCATGTTGAGATGTCCAAGAAATCGGTTTCTATGTCACATTTTCGTCCTTCACCCTCATGTCATTCCCGCAGATCTGCGGGGAGGCGTCCATGCACCTCACGTGCACTAACATGCCCGTGGAGCGCATTGTGAGATGCGATATCGGTTTTCGTGTCACTTTTCCGTCCTTCAACCCTCATTTTCCTCATGTCTTTCCTGCAGATCCGCGGGGAGACGTCCATGCACCTCCCGTGCACCAACATCCCCATAGAGCGATTATTGGGTCGACTCAGAGGTCTCCTCCCCCACATTCCTACCGACAGATCTGCGGGGAGACATCCATGAAAGTCACGTGCACCATAGGTGACTTTTGAGTCGACTCAAAAGTCACCTCGTTACAATGTCGCACAACAATTTTGAGTCGACTCAAAAGTTACCGACAGATCTGCGGGGAGACATCCATGAAAGTCACGTGCACCATCATGCATCGCGTGGTGGAGCGCATCCACCAGGCGCGCGGACGTGCAAGAGACGGCTCATAAGCTACTTTCCCCTCGTCTGTCTCTCAACCCCCGTCCTCACTCACACTGATCTGCGGGGAGACGTCCATGCGCCTCACGGTGCACCAACATGCCCGTGGAACGAGTATTTAGTCGACTCAAAGGTTCCCTTCACCCCGCAACCCCTTCCCCCGCAGATCTGCGTGGAGACGTCGATGCATCTGACGTGCACCAACATGCCCGTGGAGCGCATCGACCAGGCGCTGGAGCACATCAAGGCCGCGGGGCTGCAGAACGTGCTCGCGCTGCGCGGCGACCCCCCGCACGGCCAGGACAAGTTCGTCGCCGCGGAGGGAGGCTTCTCGTGCGCACTCGACCTGGTGAGACGCATTTAGCCGGCGTATGAGTCTGTTCACCGAATCAACTGGGCCGGTGCTCGCCCTGCGCGGCGACCCCCCGCACGGCCAGGGCAAATTCGTTGCCGCGGAGGGGGGATTCTCGTGCGCTCTCGATCGGGTAAGCGGGTTCTGCAATGGTTGATATGGTGCGTGCCTTTTGTGCGGAGGCTTTTGTTGATAGCGAGGATAGCGAGGTATGTCACGCCTTATGCTTCGCCATGTGCTGACTGCCTCTTTTCCTGTTGTCGTTCTCTGCCTGTTTCCCCTGCTTGGTTTTGCTGCCTGGTTTTCCTTACTGCAGGTGAAGCACATTCGCGCCAAATACGGTGATTACTTCGGAATCACGGTCGCGGGATACCCAGGTGAGATCGTAAATCCGGAATAGGTATAATTGACCCAAAGTGACGCAATCACTCAAATTTGGTTGTCCGAAGCTGGTAAGAACTGCGTTTCTTAGACTTCGGGAATCGCATTCACCCACCCAACTCAAACCCACGACTCCCAACCCTGTTCAACTCCTGCGGCCATGGTGTGTGAGCAGAGGCCGACTTCTGAGTCGACTCAAAAGTCACCCGCCCAAACCCTCATCCCCAGCTCTGTTAAACCCTTGCGACCATGGTGTGTGAGCAGAGGCCCATCCCGACGCCATCAGCGGCCCTGACGGCGCAACGCCAGAGGAGTACCAGAAGGACCTGGAGTACCTCAAGTCCAAGGTGAGAGGAAATGCATGATAGATGGTATGTGCTCTAACTGGTTGTTGCTGAGTTGACTTAATCGAGGTCGGAGGAGTACCAGAAGGACCTCGAGTACCTCAAGTCCAAGGTGGGTTGGTGGTCCATGTGTGTTAGATGGTACGCACACTCCTGCCTTCTTCGCTGGGTTGAATCATTCAACGCCAGTGGCGTACCAGAAGGACCTAGAGTACCTGCTACATGGTACGCGCTCCCAGCATTGACGGAGAAGTACCAGAAGGACCTGGAGTACCTCAAGTCCAAGGTGAGGGGAAACGAGTGATGCGTGCTCCCACGTTTTTGCTGAGTTAACTAAAAATAATTAGCAGCAGAGTAGTAGCAGAAGGACCTAGATTACCCTCCAGTCTAAGGTGGAAGCATCATGCTCCATGGTTCTAATAAAGGCTAATGTTGTTCCAGGGGAATTTTGTGTCACGTGGCATGAGGGCTTTTGACAGGACTTTTGCTTCTGAGTTGCTGGCGGATGCACTCAGCGACTCAGGCGCGGAGCTGATTGTGACGATGTTCACCTCTTCGTGCAGTCGGTGCTTCCCCTCACCCCCCTCCCCTGTTTCCCCTCACCCCCCTCCCCTGTTTCCCCTCACCCCCCTCCCCTGTTTCCCCTGCCCATCCCTGCCACCCCCGCCCTGCCCCGCAAACCCCCCCCCCCCCCCCCATTCGCTCCCAGATGGACGCAGGCGCGGACCTGATAGTGACGCAACTGTTCTACGACGTGGACATCTTCCTCAAGTTCGTGGCGGACTGCCGCGCCATGGGCGTGCGGGCGCCCATCATCCCGGGCATCATGCCCATCACCACGTACGGCGGCTTCAAGCGCATGACCGCCTTCTGCAAGACCAAGGTGAGCGCCCCATCCTCCCCCTTCCCCCCTGTCAGTGTGAGTGAGTGTGTGTGTGCTGAGGGGGAGTGGGAGGGGGAAGAGCGGGTGGGGGAAGAGAGAAGGGTGATGGCACGGAGAGTAAGAAAGGTGATGATGTGAGAGAAGGGGTTGAGAGAAGGGGTTGAGAGAAGGGGTTGAGAGAAGGGGTTGAGAGAAGGGGTTGAGAGAAGGGGTTGAGAGAGGGGGTTGAGAGAAGGGGTTGAGAGGGGTTGAGAGAAGGGGTTGAGAGGGGTTGAGAGGGGTTGAGAGAAGGGGTTGAGAGAAGGGGTTGAGAGAAGGGGTTGAGAGAAGGGGTTGAGAGAAGGGGTTGAGAGAAGGGGTTGAGAGAGGGGGTTGAGAGAAGGGGTTGAGAGGGGTTGAGAGAAGGGGTTGAGAGGGGTTGAGAGAAGGGGTTGAGAGAAGGGGTTGAGAGAAGGGGTTGAGAGAAGGGGTTGAGAGAAGGGGTTGAGAGAAGGGGTTGAGAGGGGCTGAGAGGGGCTGAGAGGGGCTGAGAGGGGCTGAGAGAAGGGCCTGGAAATGTGCTGTTTAAAGCTGGTGGGGATCATGTGGCCTTGAAACCCCCTTGGTTTATACCCCTGCCTGCTTCTCCTCTGTGTAATGAGTCGATTTTTAAGTCGACTCAAAAAAAGCTGGTGGGGGTCATGTGGCCTTGAAGCACCCTTGGTTCATACCCCTGCCCGCTTCTCCTCTGCTCATGGTCACAGGTTCCCCAGAGGAGTCTATTTTTTAGGCGTCTCAAATTAGACTCTTAAGCTGGTGGGAGTCATGTGGCCTTCACACACCCTTGGTTCGTACCCCTGCCCGCTTCTCCTCTGCTCCCATGGTCACAGGTTCCCCAGAGCATTCTGGACGCGCTGGAGCCCATTAAGGATAACGAGGAGGCTGTTAGGGCGTACGGCATCCATCAAGGCACAGAGATGTGCCGCCGCATCCTGGACTCGGGCATCTCCACGCTGCACATGTACACACTCAACCAGGACAAGACCACCCTCGCCATCCTCAAGGTAAGGTTGGGTGGGTGAGATGACAGGTGAGTGAGAAGGAGGTTGCAGACGAGCACGTCCACGCTGCATACTTAGACGCTGAACCAGGAGAGGACCACCCTCGCCATCCTCAGGGTCTATTTTTTAGGCGCCTCAAAAATAGACGGGCACCTCCACGCTGCATATGTACACGCTGAACCTGGAGAGGACCACCCTCGCCATCCTCAGGGTCTATTTTTTAGGCGCCTCAAAAATAGACGGGCACCTCCACGCTGCATATGTAGACGCTGAACCAGGAGAGGACCACCCTCGCCATCCTCAGGGTCTATTTTTAGGCGCCTCAAAAATAGACGGGCACCTCCACGCTGCATATGTAGACGCTGAACCAGGAGAAGACCACCCTCGCCATCCTCAGGGTCTATTTTTAGGCGCCTCAAAAATAGACGGGCACCTCCACGCTGCATATGTAGACGCTGAACCAGGAGAAGACCACCCTCGCCATCCTCAGGGTAGGAGGGATCGCGCTTTATGGTGCATGGAATCGGTATTTCAAGTATTCGTCCTGGACTCGGGCATCTCCACACTGCACGTGTACACGCTGAGCCTGGACAAGAGAATAGTCGCCATTCTCAAGGTTGGGTGGGTGAGATGTGTTAGGTGAGAAGGCGACTGCAGTCAGGCATGTTTACTCTGCACATATACACGGTGAACCAGGACGAGACAACCGCCGCCATTCTCAAGGTAAGCTTTATTGCATAGGGGGCAGGCATCAAATTGTGCTCTGGCATCGGGCATCTCCACGCTGCGCATGTACGCGCTCAACCATGACGAGACCACCCTCGCCATTCTTAAGGTGGTTTTTAGATGGGCAGCTGGGTGGATAAGCAGTACACAGGATGTCAGAAGCAGAATTTGTTTCGGTGCATGTGAAGCAGAATTTGTTTCGGTGCATGTGAAGCAGAATTTGTTTCGGTGCATGTGAAGCAGAATTTGTTTCTGTCGTATCCCCTCGCTCTCTCCCTCCTGACTTCCCTCTTTTCTTCTTGCTCTCCGCCTCCCTTCCCTCTCAGAACCTCGGTCTCATCGAGGCGGCCAACATCCCTCGCTCGCTGCCCTGGCGGCCCGCCACCAACCTAGTGCGATGCACAGAGGACGTTCGCCCCATCTACTGGTGAGAAGCATCAATTGGAGAGAGCATTGGGTACTGAGCAATATGCACGGCTCAGTTGGTGAGGCCACCCACCAACATAGCGCTAAGCATGCATAGAGGATGCACGCCCCGTCTACTGGCGAGGGGCATCTGTTGGTGAGGGCAGTTGGCAGAATAATCCGCACAGGTGAGAAGAATGGGAGCCATGCACCCACTGGTGAGGTGTTGCTGAGATGCCTGATGGCAAGTGAGGCTCCACTGGTGAGGCCAGCCACCAACCCAGTTCGATGCACAGAGGACGTGCGCCCCATCTACTGGCGAGAGCATGTGGGCAATCAAGCATTTCACTGGTGAGAGCCATCTCTATTGGTGAACAGTGGGCCAGCCACCAACCCAGTTCGATGCACAGAGGGCGTGCGCCCTATCTGCTGGTGACGGTCGTGGATAATCGACCCATGTACTGGTGAGGGTTGTGGATAATCGACCCATGTACTGGTGAGGGTTGTGGATAATCGACCCATGTACTGGTGAGGGTTGTGGATAATCGACCCATGTACTGGTGACGGTTGTGGATAATCGACCCATGTACTGGTGACGGTTGTGGATAATCGACCCACGTACTGGTGACGGTTGTGGATAATCGACCCATGTACTGGTGAGGGCTGTGGATAATCGACCCATGTACTGGTGAGGGCTGTGGATAATCGACCCATGTACTGGTGAGGGCTGTGGATAATCGACCCATGTACTGGTGACGGCTGTGGATAATCGACCCATGTACTGGTGACGGCTGTGGATAATCGACCCATGTACTGGTGAGGGCTGTGGATAATCGACCCATGTACTGGTGAGGGTTGTGGATAATCGACCCATGTACTGGTGAGGGCTGTGGATAATCGACCCATGTACTGGTGAGGGTTGTGGATAATCGACCCATGTACTGGTGAGGGCTGTGGATAATCGACCCATGTACTGGTGAGGGCTGTGGATAATCGACCCATGTACTGGTGAGGGCTGTGGATAATCGACCCATGTACTGGTGAGGGCTGTGGATAATCGACCCATGTACTGGTGAGGGCTGTGGATAATCGACCCATGTACTGGTGAGGGCTGTGGATAATCGACCCATGTACTGGTGAGGGCTGTGGATAATCGACCCATGTACTGGTGAGGGCTGTGGATAATCGACCCATGTACTGGTGAGGGTGTGGATAATCGACCCATGTACTGGTGAGGGCTGTGGATAATCGACCCATGTACTGGTGAGGGCTGTGGATAATCGACCCATGTACTGGTGAGGGCTGTGGATAATCGACCCATGTACTGGTGAGGGCTGTGGATAATCGACCCATGTACTGGTGAGGGCTGTGGATAATCGACCCATGTACTGGTGAGGGCTGTGGATAATCGACCCATGTACTGGTGAGGGCTGTGGATAATCGACCCATGTACTGGTGAGGGCTGTGGATAATCGACCCATGTACTGGTGAGGGCTGTGGATAATCGACCCATGTACTGGTGAGGGCTGTGGATAATCGACCCATGTACTGGTGAGGGCTGTGGATAATCGACCCATGTACTGGTGAGGGCTGTGGATAATCGACCCATGTACTGGTGACGGTCTGACGGTTACTCTCCCTACAACACTCACATACCCTACACATGCTCATGCTCATTTTCCGGCGCCTCAAAAACCCTTTTTTGAGGCGCCTCTAAAACCCTACAACACGCACATACCCTACACATGCTCATGCTCCTTTTCCCTACACAGCCACAGGTCCCTCCGCCCCCACGAGCTACCTGGCGTGCACGGCTGCATGGAGCAAGTTCCCTTTTGGCTGGCTGGGCCAACTTATGCGGCAGCCACGGACCCCTTGCACACCCGTGGACACCCTGTTCCCAACCTTGCCCTGCCCCACACTCACAGGTCCCTCCGTCCCAAGAGCTACCTGGCGCGCACGGCTGCATGGACCAAGTTCCCCTCGGGCCGGCTTGGACCAGCTGAGGCCCTCTCTTACAGCGACCTGCCCGACAAGCACCGGGCGTTCCTCAAGAGGAAGTCAAGGGCTGCTGCGCTCGCCAGGGACTGGGCCGTGCCCATTGCGTCGACTGAGGACGTGAAGCAGGTGAGGGGGATCGGAGTGAAGGGGCATCCTTGCAGTGGGAGCAGTGCAGAGGCCTTCTCTCGCAGTGACAATGCCCAACAAGAAGCACCGACAAGCATGGGCCGTGCCCATTGCATTGGCTGAAGACGTGAAGCAGGTGATAGGGGAGGGGGTTTTAGAGAGCGTGTGTGCAATGGGAGACAGAATCCCCCCCGTTTAGTCACACCTGAAGCCTTCTCGTACAGCGACCCATCCGACAAGCACCGGGCGTTCTTCAAGAGGAAGTCGCAGGCTACTGCACTTTCTAGGGACTGAGCTGTGCCCATTGCGTCCACTGAGGATGTGAAGCAGGTGAGAGGGGAGGGGGGTGCAAGGACCTATATGAAATGTTGCGCTGCAGCCATTCCTATAATCCATCTGTTTGAGGCTCCTCAAAAATAGACTCCTGAACCAGGTGAGAGGGGAAGCGGGTACAAGGACCTATGCAAAATGTTGCACTGCAGCCAACACTCTCCCAATTTTCTCCCCACCTCTCCCCCTCGCAGCTCTTCACGCGGTTTGTGAGTGGCGAGGTGAGCAGCTTCCCCTGGAGCGAGGCGGTGGAGGCAACCCTCTCCCCCGACTCGGCCCCCATCAGCGCGCAGCTGCAGGAGCTCAACGCCGCTGGGCTGCTCACAGTCAACAGCCAGCCGGCTGTCAATGGCGCCAAGTCAGATGATGCTGTCCTCGGTGAGTTGTCAGTTGAACGGAATGACCTCCCTTCTGGGGAGGCATCTCTCTCCCCGGACTCGCCCCCATCAGCGCTCAGCAGCAGGAGTTGAACGCCGCTGGGCTGCTAACTGTTGATAGCCAGCCTGCCATGAATGGCGCCGAGTCAGACGACGCTGTTCTAGGTGAGTTCTGTGAGTTCTGGAGACTGTAGCAGAGGGCTTGCCTCCTGGGGAGGCCTCCCTCTCCAAGGACTTTGCCCCTAGAACTCAGCCTCAGCCTCAGGAGCTCAACGCCGCTGGGTTGCTCACTGTGAACAGCCCGCCAGCAGTGAAGGGCACCAAGTCAGTTGATGCGGTCCTCTGTCTGTGCTGAGTCTGTGAGTGACTCAGCACTGTGCGGTCCTCTCACTGTGCCCAGCACGACGCGAAACGCATGACCCTCTCTCTCTCTCTCTCCCATTCCCCCTCCCCGCATCCCCTGCCACAGGCTGGGGTGGGCCTGGGGGCTACATCTACCAGAAGGCCTATGTGGAGTGTTTCGCTCCGCACGACAAGGTCACTGCTCTTCTGGAGAAGGCCAAGGCCACCCCCTCCATCTCGCTCATGGCTGTCAGCTTGTCGGGCCACGTCTTAGCCACCGGCCCCGGCACGCCTGCGTCCACCACTCCCTTCTCTGCAAACGCGGTCACTTGGGGGGTGTTCCCCGGACGGGAGGTGGTGCAGCCAACCGTGGCGGACTTTACTTCGTTTTTGGCGTGGAAGGATGAGGCGTTTGGCGCGTGGGTGCAGGACTGGGCGACGCTCTATAAGGAGGATGACGAGGGCACGCCAATGGCCAAGAAGCTGCTTCAAGAGGTGAGGTTGTGGGTGTGTGCAGGCCAGCGTGAGCCTCGGCGTGAGCGAATGCGGGCTGGGAGGAAGTCTAGGTATGGGTGTTCCCTGCGCGGGAGGTGGTGCAGCCGACCATGGCGGATTTCAGGTTGTTTTTGGCGTGGAAGGACGAGGCGTTTGGCGCGTGGGTGGAGGACTGGGCGGGGCTGTACAAGGAGGAGGATGAGGGCACGCCAGTGGCCAAGAAGCTGCTTCAAGAGGTGTGGGTGTGTGTGTGCACTGGTAGGCATGGGCCAAGGCGCAAGTGAATGCGGGTTGGGAGTTGGGAGTCAGGCTGGGCACGAGTGACTGCAAGGGCGGGAGGTGGTGCAGCCGACCGTGACGACTTTCACGTTGTCCCTGGCGTGGAAGGACGAGGCGTTTGGCGCGTGGGTGGAGGACTGGGCGGGGCTGTACAAGGAGGAGGATGAGGGCACGCCAGTGGCCAAGAAGGTGCTTCAAGAGGTGAGTTGCGAGGCAGGTGGTGTGAGTGTAGACAGGCGTGGGTGGAGGACCGGGCAGGGCTGTACAAAGAGGAGGACGAGGGGAATGGGCGGGGCTGTAATAGGAGGGGCATGTGGGGACACCTGTGGCTACGAAACTGCTGCAAGAGGTGAGTTGCGAAGGGGGTGGTGTGAGTCTAGACATGCATGGGCGGGGGACTGGGCGGGGCTGTATGGGGAGGAAGGCGAGGGCACACTGGTGGCCAAAAAGCTGCTTCAGGAGGTGAGTGTGTGGACATGCAGGCGTGAGGTTCTATGCCTCAGTGAATGCGGATTGGGAGTCCGGGCGCATGCGAGGGAGGAAGGTGGTGCAGCCGACCATGGCAGACTTCACCTCGTCCACCCTCTCCCCCCCCTGCCCCCTCTCTTCCCCGTCCCCCCCCCCCCCCCCCCCCCCTCTTATCTCTTCCCCATCCCCCCTCCCTCGTAGGCCTTATCCTGTTATTTCCTTCCGCCTTCCTTCGTACTTGGCTTGTGCAGATCCACGACACGTACTACCTAGTCAGTGTCGTCGACAATGACTATGTCAATGGTGACATATTTGCTCTCTTCGCTGGGATTTAACTGGCGCTATTCTCCAAATACAGGGTCGACGATGGTTGACTAAGGTTTTGCCACAGTCTGTGGTTCTAGATAGTGAAGGTGTTAGATGCATATGGATGGAGGAGTTAGACAATTATTATTAATTTTGCTTTACGTTACTCCTTTAATTTCTTAGGTAGAATGGTGCGGTACTGTGCGGTTTTGCGGCTATGGGCACTCGCCACTTCCCCCAGGTCCAGTGCCGTTCATCGCGATCAGTGTAATTTTTGGACCGTTACCACCATCGCTGAGGTTCGCGGATGTGTCGCGAACGCATTCACGCTCGCGCACCACCACCATAGCCGCTCGTGTCTTTCCAGCTGCGCGCCGCGTGTCGGCAGATCCTAGGGTGGTCTTTTACTTCGCTGCGCGACTGGCTGGCGGGATCAGCGCTAATCCTCTCGCACAGGCATGCCGTTCTCAATCGCCCGCTCTCGCCAATAGTTACCAGAGTTCTTCCGTGTAGAGTACTCCCGCCCGAGAGTACTTCCGTTGTTACTCTGCTCGTGCTTCGTCGTCTTGTTTACTATGAGACGGCAGCCGCGTCGTTTTCCACGCTGACGGTGATAAGCAGCCACGTGGACGATCGCGAAAAACGCACCAATGGCGTCGCGGTTAGCCCAAGCGGCGCGTTCCCGCAGTTCTCCCGCGCTTCGGCTCTTACCCGGAAGCCTCTCCCTCCACTCGCTTGCACCAATTGAGTCAGCTGTAGGATCTTATAGAGAAACCTCTCATACCGGTTCTTCTTATAAAGAGAATTCGTATACAGGGACTGGTGTAGGCACTCTTTTAGAATACTCTGGCCTAGGCGGTGAGAGCGGCTCGGCGCGCTTTGCAGGCCTAGGCAGGAGCAACCACAGCTCCAGCAGGGGCGCTACTAGCGGCGTAATTTCCGGCGGGAATTGCGGCGCCGACGTCGCTAGCGCTCGGCGCATCAACACGCGCGCGCCGCTGCCGGTTTTCACGGGCGAGCAGTGGACGACGGCGCACGCGTTCACGAATGATGAGGTGGCGGCTTTCGCGCACATGACGGGCGACCTCAACCCCATCCACCTGGACGCGCACGCGGCGGAGGCGGCGGGATTCGCGGAGTGCGTCGTGCATGGGATCCTCGCGGCGAGTCTATTCCCTGCTCTCATCGCCAAGAATCACGTGAGTTCCAGGCTCTTATCACAGCCTTGAGAATTTTTAGGCGCCTCAAAAATAGGTTCTTATCACAGCCTGAGATTTTTTAGAATTCTAAGAATCACGAGAGTTCCAGGCTCAGCCTGAGTTCCAGGCTCAAAAATAGGTTCTTAGAAAATAGGTTCCAGGCTCTCATCACAGCCTGAGTTCCAGGCTCTTATCTCATCACAGCCTGGGAAAGAGCATGATGATTCGCGGAGTGCGTCCAAGTGGCGCAAGGATGCACTTTCGAGACGGAGAGAACTCTCAAGAATCACCTTCAAAACGGAGAGTTCGCTTGTTAGTTAGCTTGCTGCGGATCTAACCCGCTTCATCGCAACGATTTCGTGGAGAACCATGAGAGCTAGGGAGGCCCAGTTCGGTTTCGCCCTAACCATGAGATGAGAGTGGCTCAGCTGCTGGGTTGGTCGGCTTGGCATTGGCCCATGGATGGGTCATGGATGGGTCATGGATGGGTCATGGATGGGTCATGGATGGGTCATGGATGGGTCATGGATGGGTCATGGATGGGTCATGGATGGGTCATGGATGGGGGGGATTCACAGAGTGTATGGTGCACGGGATACTTGCGGCAAGTTTGATTCCCTCAATGATTGCTAAGAACCATGCGAACCATGCGGGAACCATGTATGGATGTTTGCTGCACGGGATACTTACTTCGCTGCTAGTATCCCCTCACAGCTCCCCCCTCCACGGCTCTCCCCAGCCTTGTTATCTACTCCCAGCCTGGGGGGAGCCTGAGATAAGAGGGGATAACAGCCATGTATGGATGTTCGCTGCTTGTTTTCCTACTGTCTTATCTCCCCTCCACGTCTCCCAGCCTGGAGCCATCTACGTGTCAAAAGCGACCTGAGCACTAGCTCCCGTTTTCGGCATCAGGCCCTGCCTTACCTTTCGCGCATTGGTGACTGCAACTCACGGCAACAGTGACACACCCTCTCACTGTCTCCCTCCCCTCCCATTCCCCCCTCTCGCCGATAGCATCCCCCTTCCCAGCCGGGTGCCATCCACGTGTCCTCTCAGACCCCTGCAGTTCCTCGCTCCAGTCTAAGTGGGCGAGCAGGTCACAGCAGCAGTGGCAGGTGGTTCTGCCTCTTCACTTAACCCCTCCTGTACTCTCCTCTTCTACCACCCATCACTCTCAGCCAGGCGCCATCTACGTGTCCTCTCAGACCCCTGCAGTTCCTTGCTGCAGTCTATGTGGGCGAGCAGGTCACAGCAGCAGTGGCAGGCGGTCCAGCCCCGCACCATACGATGCACCACCAACCCACCGACCCCCCACCAACACCCCCGCCTGCCACTCTCCCCCCTCCCCCCCCTTGACTCCCAGCCCGGAGCCATCTACGTGTCCCAGACCCTGCGCTTCCTCGCACCTGTCTATGTGGGCGAGCAGGTCACAGCTACTGTGGAGGCCATCTCTGTGGTGGCCCACAGACATAGATTCAGGTGGGCCTCCCTTTGTGATGCGCATGTATGCATGTGTATGCGCATGTATGCATGTGTTTGCGCATGTATGCATGTGTATGCGCATGTATGCGTGTGTATGCACATGTATGCATGTGTATGCGCATGTATGCGTGTGTATGCGCATGTATGCGTGTGTATGCGCATGTATGCATGTGTATGCGCATGTATGCGTGTGTATGCGCATGTGTGCATGTGTATGCGCATGTATGTGTGTGTTTGCGCATGTATGCGTGTGTATGTGCATGTATGCGTGTGTATGCGCATGTCTGCACACTGTAGTCTGAATGGGCGAGCAGGTCACAGCCACTGTGGTGGAGGGCATCTCAGTGGTGGCGCACAGGCATCGGTTCAGGTGGGCGTCCGCGTGCGTGTGAGTGGGGGTCCGTATGCACGTGTGTGAGTGGGGGTCTGTATGTATGCACGTGTGAGTGGGGGTCTGTATGCACGTGGGTGAGTGGGGGTCTGTATGTATGCGCGTGTGAGTGGGGGTCTGTATGTATGCACGTGTGTGAGTGGGGGTCTGTATGCACGTGTGTGAGTGGGGGTCTGTATGTATGCACGTGTGTGAGTGGGGGTCTGTATGTATGCACGTGTGTTTCAGGTGGCTTTCAGGTGTGTTTTAGGTGGCTTTCAGGTGTGTTTTAGGTGGCTTTCAGGTGTGTTTTAAGTGCGTTTCAGGTGTGTTTCAGGTAGGTTTCAGGGTAAATTTTGTTTCCAAGGCGTTCAAGGCACCGCGAGTCATGCCAGCAGCTGCAGCTGCAGTGACGACTATAAATACAAGTCTCTCTTCTCTCCATCCCACACCCTTTCTCAGAGTCACATTCCCTTCCAAGGCGTTCAAGGCAGTAGTAGTCACGCCAACGACAGATGAGTTAGTGGCGCCGTTTCGGAGGTTGTCTCCAATAGTGTTCAGCCCTCTCTCCCCACCCCCCACCCCCCAACCCTGCTCAGAGTCACATTTGCTTCCAAGGCGTTCAAGGAACCGCGAGTCACGCCAGCAGCAGCAGCAGACGCAGCAGCCGCAGGAGAAGAGGCGGCACCCCGCCCTGTGCTGGCACTAGATGGCATTGCTGTTGCCATCATCCCCGCACTGAACAGAGACCCCCCCAACCCCATGGACTAAACAGCTGAATTTTCCTAGGCTTCAAGTTGACGCAGCAGCATCGGGAGAGGTGGCGGCAGCCCGCCCCGTGCTGGCACTGGATGGCATTGCTGTTGCTGTCACAGTTGCACTGAACAGAGACCTGCCCGACCCCATGGAGTAAAGAGATGACCTGTTAGCCAACACAGTAGCCTCGGGATAATTGCTTCCATCGTTTCCGCGCCAGCCTTTCATTCCTGTGGGCTGCAATAGTAGTATAGTCGCTGCAGCCTACCGTAAATTACTAGTATATTCCTCCCAATGCGTATGCATTCTCCATTGTGCTACCAATATTGCACAGTTAAAGTCCGGAGCCCTGCTAGGATAGTTGTAGGAAAATCATCGAAAACACCACTTACACTTCAGATGAAGGACGTGTTATTCCTTCAGAGCAGCACATGCACGTGTCAATTTATACAGATTCGTGTATGTAGCAATTATAGGCTAGAAGGGTTCGTGCTCTTAGAGGGTACAACACCCAACCATATATTCCCTTGTATCCCTCCTTTCTAGTCGTTGCGCTATTATGAGATGGTATAAGATAGGTTAGGTCCGCCCACCCGCGCTTCCGCCCTAGCCCGCCCTAGCCGCCCTAGCCGCCCTAGCCGCCCTAGCCGCCCTAGCCGCCCTAGCCCGTGCCACGAGTCCTCTCGCGAGCCGCTCAGCTCCTAGCCCGCCGCTTGCCCCTCGCGCTCTGGCCCCTAGCTCGCCAGCCCCGCACTCGCCAGCCCCGCGCTCGTCGGCCCCTAGCTCGCCGGTCCCCCGCTCGCCAGCCCCCTGCTCGTTGGCCCCTAGCTCATCGGCCCCGCGCTCGCCGGCCCCGTGCTCGCCGACCCTGCACTCGCCGGCTTCTCGCTCGCCGGCTTCTCGCTCGCCGGCCCCTGCTCACCGGCCCCAGCTCCTGCCGGCTCCAGCTCGCGCCGGCCCCTGGCGTGGCGGCCCCTGCTCGCAGCCCCAGTTCGCCCCGCCCCTAGCATGCCGGCCAGCGCTCCTGTCGGCCCGCAGCCAGCCTTTGCTAGCCGAGCCGCTCACCCGGCCGCCGGCCCCAGCCTGCCACGCCGCTCCAGCTCGTCGCGCCGCTGTGCCGCCCCGATCTGCCGGCCCCTCGTCGCCGCCGACTCTGGTTCCACCCTCAGCTGGCGCTTCCGCCGGCTATCTTCTCTACCGCTCTCCACCGCTCTTCACCGCCCCTGCCTTTGCCAATTCTCCTCCTCTTACGGTCGTCAGCTACTGCAGCAGTGGTGATGGCGACGCGGTGCTCCGCCTGGACGCGGAGGGCCGGTCGGTCGATTTTGAAGCGTGGCTCGTCGACCTCCGCCGCCAGCTGAAGGGTCAGCGCCAGGATGGCCACTCCCTCCAGACGAGGGGACCGAGGCTGATGCCCCGACGCAGCAGCAGCAGCAGCAGCCACAGCAGAAGAAACAGCAGCAGCAGTCACAGCAGCCGTGGGGACCTCCGCCACCGTGGCGGCTAGGCGTTTTTGGTGGTGGCGGCTACGGTGGCGGCGCGCGCAGCTCGGCGTCGGGTTGCGGCTCCAGTGCGGTAACCTCCCAATACCAGCTTCAGTCCGGCCCCCGTCGCGGCACCGTGAGCGACCGTCTCGGTCACACCGCACCTCGCTACTACCGCTGCCTCGACGACCTCTTCCGTCTCCGGTTCGGCCCTGCGCCGGACCTCCCCGACTTGCACAGCCTGGTACGTCGCAGTGTGCCGTTATTTGAGATGGATGTGGATCAGATTCGCTCTGCTTTGTATGCCATATATCCTGATGACTCTAGTGTGACTGGACCTTATTCCCATGTGTTGCATATTATAGGTGTGTCCGCTGTGTGTAGTATAGGTTCCTCTGCATCGTTAGGCGTGGGACCTCCTGCCTTGCTTAGCCTCGCCTCCACCCTAGTCCCTCCGCCGGCTGACGCTACTGCCGCGCTCTCGTTCACGCTAAACTCTGGTGCGCCCGCCTGCTTCTTTCACTCTTACTGACCCCTCCTCACGTCCGGTAGTTGCATGTACCTCCACCACCCTTCCCTGTCCGGCGGTTCCCTCGTGCTCTCTTACAGGCTTGCACATCCCCTCGTTTTCCAGGAACCTAGTTGGTGTCGGCTGTCTTCAGGACCTCGGCATCAACACTACGTTCCTTGGTCACAAGCAGTACGCAATCTGTACCCGAGGCCGTTACTGGTGCCCCCCTCACCATGTTCCCCCGGGACCCGGTGTCTGGCCTGTTCACGCTCAATACTGCGTCCCCTCCGATGGGGGCGTCCTCCCATATGGCCGCGTCTACTCAGGTTGCTGCGGCTTGCTCGTGTCGATCGCTCACTCACCCGTCCCTTCTGTGGCACCACCGCCTAGGCCACCCCGCACTCCCGCGTCTACGTTACTTGTCCCAGCACGGTCTCGTCTTAGGTCTCCCTGCGTCGCTTCCTGCCCTCCCTCCCTCGCCCGTGCCTTCGTGCACGCCCTCCGTCGAGGGCCGCCTGCGCCGTGCTCCTCACTCCTCGTTTCCTCCCACCATACCACCCCCGAGAGACGGAGGACGGGCTGGGTCAGAGACCAGAGCAGTGGCGTAGTCAGCGACGACAGCGACAAACACGTCAAGACTTCAGACAGGAATAGACAGATCGGTAACAAGAATGGCAAGGACCCGAGGAACAAGAGGACTAGCGGCACGAAGAAAGTCAGACACATGAGGCGGGGCGACAACAAGCGACGTTGGAGGAGGCGGCAGGAGGAGGGGAGGACGAGACGCGCTTGAATGAAGCAATATAGGATGAGAGCGCTACTTCCTAGTGCTTGTCGACTACTACACGCGCTACATCACGGTGTTTCCCCTGGAGTGGAAGGCCGACGTGTCTGACGTTCTTATCTCGTGGGTCGTAGCTACGCTAGTCCACCGCGGCCTTCCTGTATTGCGTCCCCACTCCGACTGTGGCGGGGAGTTTGCCACTGGTCGGCTTGGTCAGTTCTGTCGTGCAGAGGGCATCACCCAGTCGTACACCCTGCCGGGCTCCCCACAGCAGAATGGGGTCGCTGAGCGACGCATCGGTTTGGTCATGGAGGTGGCTCGTACCTCCATGATCCATGCTGGTGTACCCAATTTTCTGTGGTCGTTCGCTGTTCGCTACGCCTCTCACTAGCTTAACCTGTGGCCGCACTCCCAACGGCCGCAAGTTTCGCCGACCCTCCTATGGACCGGGTTCCCTGGTGACGCGTCTGCGTTCCACGTCTGGGGCTGCCTCGCTCACATTCGTGCCTTTGGTACGGACAAGCTCACGGCCCGCACTGTCCCCTATGTCTTCCTTGGTTTCCCTCTTGGCGCGTCTGACTGGCACTTTTACCACCCGCCTTCTCACCGCTTCTTTCACTCGCGTGACGTCACTTTTGACGAGTCTGTCTCCTTCTAGCATCGCTTTCCCCACCGAGGTTTACCGGTTTCCCGCCCCTTTTTCTGGTTCCCATTCCTCCGGTAGCCCCTGCTCCTCTCCCTCCCCGGCTTGCCCCGTCTGGTGTGTCTTTCGTTACTCCCCTCCCGTCGGTGGTCCAGGTGGAGGATTCGGCTGACTCCGGGGGCCCCGCGGCTTCGGTTTCGCCGCCTGTCTCCGCCCCGGTGTCTCCTCCTCCGCTGCCGCAGCCGCATTAGTTGCCGCCGTCGCCGCCACAACCACATCCGCCGCAGGGGTCCGCGCGTTTTGGGGATACTGGCGTTGAGGAGGGTGCTAGTCCTAGGGTTAATGTCGTGGCTTGTCCAGGCGGTCTCGTGAGTGGCACCGGTGCTAGAGAGGGTTCTCGTTATGGGGGTGTTGGTTCTGGGTATGCTAGTCCTGGGGTTCCTATCGTGGCTCGTCCCGGCGGTCCTGGGGGCGACCTGTATTGGAGAGGGTTCTTGTTCTGGGGGTGCTGGAGTGGAGCGTTCCGGAGGTAGCCGTGGTGCAGCTGGAGGTTCTGGTGTCGGTGTGGCGCAGCAGCAGCAGTCGCAGCCTGTGTCTGCCCTTCGCCTCCTCGGTCTTCCCTCCCTTGACCGCCCGCCTGCGCCTCCCCGCTGCCACCTCCCCTGCCTGTCTACGGCCCTATGTTTCCTCCGCCGGACTTGTCTCCGGCTCGTTTTCCCCCTCGTTCCCCTCCTGTGTCTCCTCCTCTGTCTCCTGACCCGACGCCTCCGTTTCATGTATGGTCTCGCCGTCCCTCTCGTGCTCGTCCTGTCTGTCGTATTCAGCGCTCTGATACCATATCAAAGCTAGAATGAATGAATAGAATGAGGTAAACAAGGTGTTTTTGTCTAAGGGATTGTACCCGGTAAGAGTACGCACCTATCCAGCCTTTAAGACATATACACAATATGTTTGACAGGGAGTTCGTCGTTTCCTCTGGAATATTCTCTTGTGAGCTGTAAATGCTGCCGCCACCTGTACTTCCCATTGGCTGTAGCTTTGAGTTGAGCTCCAGGGTGGCCAAATCCAGCCACACAGCTGCCGAACCGAGGTGGAATTCGCGCTCGCAGAGGTAGGAATCTATCAACATCCGCGATAGCATGAAATCATTTCGAATTTGAGTCTGATACACACTTAAAAATGTGAATCCTTTTTAAAACGAGATAGGTCCCGGGTAATTTATTTCCAGGTTCCTTCAATAGGCTCACCCCCATTTTTTTTAGTATACGAAAAAAGACACTAGGGTTATATATCCGGGCGTTTACAGTATTTGTATATGTAGCAGTTATAGGCTCGAAGGGTTCCTGCTCTTAGAGAGTACAACACCCCAACCATATATTCCATTGTATCCCTCCTTTCTAGTCATTGCGTTATTCTGAGAGCACGCACATTCCAGCATGACTCCTCCACACATGCCCTCTGCGCGGAGTTCGGCTCAGAACATGCTATTGCGTCATAGCAGCACACCAGAGCATGTACATACGGTACGAGTGCTTCATGTGCCCACTGTGCGCTTGGAGTGTGGCTCATACCTAGCAGCGCATCCCAGCATGACCTTATGTCCTTAGCCCAGCGCAGGTTACACTATTTAGTTGACTCAAAAAGCACACAGCATACCTCCATCCCCGCTGTGTGTGTGGGAGTTGGGCTGAGAACACAAAATTGCCTCACAGCAGCATGTCGGAGCATGACTCCATGCCCATAGCCCGGCGCACGTTCCAAATGTGAATGGCCGAGGGAGAGAGGGTGGGGGAGGAGGGAGAGGAGGAGGGAGAGGAGGAGGGAGAGGAGGAGGGAGAGGTGGAGGGAGAGGAGGAGGGAGAGGAGGAGGGAGAGGAGGAGGGAGATGAGGAGGGGGAGGAGGAGGGAGAGGAGGGGGAGGAGGAGGGAGAGGAGGGGGCAGGGGATAGAAGCAGAGTGCGAGCACTTGCAGCAATGAGGAGCTCTGCTGCAGCTGCCACGTCAGCTGAAGGTTGTATGGAGTGCGCCTCTGATGCTGCCACGTCAGCTGTTACTGATGCTGCCCCCTCTACCTCTGTGTCTGCTGCTGCCTCTGCAAAATTTCCCCCTTCCCTTGCTACTGCTTCCCTGCCACCATCACCCTCAGTACCATTATTATCATCGTCATTACCATCATCGCTAGTCCCTCGAATCCTGTCACTGCTTCTGCTGTTGATGTTCCTGCTGCTGCTTCTGTTGCTGTCTTCCCCACAGTCACCATCCCTACAATCACCACCATCACCACCACCGTAGCTCTTCTTATCGAGTGACTCGACAACAGTTTGGAGACGCATTACTGTAATGCCGCGTGCAGCGAGCAGGGCTGTTAGAGCTTCGCCTATTGCACGATTTTCGCCTCCACTTCTGCTGAGAAACAGTACCCGGATGCCTTGTGCCTCTAACGAATCTCCCACTAACGCGGCAACTGTCGCCAGGGGCAAATAATCCTGCTCCGACTGCTCGGTTATGTTTTTCTGCCCGTCCCTCTGCAGAACCTCCTCCCCGCCGCTTTGTTTCCTCCACGAGTCAACCACCGATTTGAAGTAATATCCTTCCCCATGTACCCGTAAATCTTCACTGCTTTTCATTCCCATCTCACCCCTCTTCTCTGCTGCTTCCGAGCCTCCCACGCTGCTTCGATTCCGCCCGCTATAGTACTCTCGCCGTTCCAGGTGCAACGCGGCATAGTCACCTCCGATATACTCCCGCCGGTACCAATCCGCTAGCGCGACCACTTCGCGAGACGGCTGCAACGAAATCAAGCAGTCTTCTGCTTTTGCCGAAGTCTCGAAAAACTTCTCAGTAGCAAGCAGCTTCTGAAATACGCGATATGGTATACTTGCTCCGATAGGAAGGTCCGACGCGTTCAAGTTGCGCAGATCCCCAAGGGAGAGCACCGACGCGCGGTAGGATCGTGGCGCAGAGGTGATTATAGCGCGAGGGAAGTCGGCGATGGCTGACGCGAAAGGCGGCATGCGATCCGTGCGACGAGGGAAAGTTACACGGGTTACCACGCGGTCACTTCGCGAGGAGGGTGAAGACGAAGGGTTCGTCCTCCGGTCGTTCCCGTCAATTTGGGCGGCGCAGTGGGGCGGGAGAGCGCAGCTGCCGGGGGAATGACCACACGCGACACTCTCCACGTGGACGCTCTCCATTCGTCGGAGCCGCAAGAAGCGCGACAATGTCATTACGAGAGGAACGGTAGCACCCCCGTCGCTCCTGCCGTCGTTCTCGCCGCCGCTCCTGCCGCTGTTTCCGCCGCTATTACCGCCGCTGTTGCCGCTTCCACTAGTGAGAGAAGGGGGCACGCTACTCAGTCTCCTTGCCGCATTAGCCCTTCCGTCTCTCCCGGCCTTGCCGCTGCTCGTGCTACTGTTGCTACTGCTGATGCCGCTGCTGCTGCTGCTGCCAGCGAAGCACGCTTCAAGCTTAGCGAGATCGAGCACTCGCGTGAAACTAATGGACGGTTCGCTAGAATCATGGTGGCGTCGGCCAGTATTAATACTTGAAATGTCGCCGTAATCCCCGCACAGGTCGTCCTCGGGAACGACGAGGGTGCGATTCACCATCGCCGCTACAAGCACGTACCGCTGCAGGCACGCCACGCGGTCCGCCACGTGTCCACGCGTACACGTGGCCAGCAGAAACTTTCCTTTCTCCGGAACCCACGAAATGCGCGGCAGATTAAAGCGCGGCACGATTCGGCCCGCTAACCGTTGCGATCGTGCGAGGTTTTCCCGATGCAACTTGGAAGCGTCTTGTTCTAAATGCCCGCGATCTGTTCCTAACTGTGAGCTGTCGAACGAGCAGTTTAACGCGGCACCTGAATTGTGGAAGAGAGGGTAGTGGTTACCCAATAAAGAGCCTACTACGAGGCGCGGCACTCTCCCCGGACCGCTCGCATTGCTGCTGTTGTTGGTACGCAAGTCGGCGGATATCGAGACCTCCGAGCCGCGACGCGTGGTGTGGTGGACCAGGAGGAGCGATCCGAGAAGCAGCATCAAGCAGAGCGCGTACACGGCACGGTCCGCCCACTTGTGCAGCTGCGCGGGATGCGGCGGCGATTGCGGCAGGCAGGTGGGCATGACGAGCGGCTCCCTGAGCCCGCTGAAGTCGCACGAGCGCCGCCAGAAACGATCGCCAATCGCTATTGGTGCTCGCGACCTGTCGCCATTCGACGGGTTACGCATGTTGAAAAGCGCCGCTTTTACTGCGGCGCAGATTACGGTGGATTGAACGCCGGTCCAAGCGAGCGGGATGAACTAAGATGAGACGACAATTTTTGCGGCGCCTAAAAAATCGAAAGGCGTGGTCTATGCTGAACTGAGCGTCGGTCTAGACTGTTGGTTGGGCACCGCGGACGAGCGCAATAAAATGAGATGGGGCAGGGCGTTGCGTCGACAGGCAATCGATTTCTACTACGGCTTAGAATATTCTAGCTGTAAATTGCCAGCTTTGGTGGATGGGTGACGGGACATGACCGCCTTCTGTTTCCTTGGTGTGGCGTGAAAAGCATAGCGCCGGGGTGGGACAGAGCGAGACACCACAGGTGCAGCAGGTGGACGCGGAGATGGTGAGAGGAACCAACAACAGAGCAAACATCACGGGCGAAACGCAGAATGTCGTCAAATCGAATCGCCTCCAAACCAAGCACCATCACTCCACAGCGCACTCGCACCGCTCGCCGCCACGCCTTACACAAAGCCAACCACTAGGTTCGGTTGGGGACTAAGAAGCCGACAGCGCGTAGCGTGGCGGCAGTACGGCGTCACATCCGCGCAAAACGACAGAGCACAGGCCTAGTTTTATGGGCGCGGAACAAGGCAAACGTCAGAAGCAGCCTTGGCACGGACGTGAAAACAGTTTCGAGACCACCTCAAGCCGAACGTCCGTTCGACAGCAATTGCTTACGAAAATCTTGGCGAGCTGTGCGACATTGGTTAACGAGGTCGTTGACGCGAAAGTCATCCAGCAACGCGACTGAAATGGACCAACCGATTTGTACCTTGGGTTCCCAGGACAACTCTCTATTGCTCCACCGAACCTCGGCATTCACATAATTCGTTAGAAAGACTAGGGCGGTTCTATTTAGCAGACTTTTTTTTTGTCTGGCTGTCTTAAAGAGAGAAGATATAATAATGACCCCCCTTTCTAGTTGGGCCCAGTTTGATAGGGGGTATACAGTAGGCAAAACGAGCCTGGCGCACGAACGTCAGAATGGAATCCCTTTTCGCCCCTGGGCAGCTGACCGCCCATGGAGGTGTGGAAAAACAACGAAAAAAACCCTGTGGGCGATATGACTAGAGAACCGAGTGACCCAGACGACTCATGTCAGCGAGCTGCAAGGGGGAAAACCGAGGAAGACACAAGGGAGGGTGCGGGCAGTGAGCTTGTCCGTGCGGGAGGCACGAAAGTGAGCAAGGCAGCCCCAAACGTGAAACGCAGATGCGACACTAGGAGACTCGGACCAAAGAAGGTTTGGCGAAACCTGCGGCTGCTTGGGTGCGGCCACAAGTTAAGCTGGTGAGCGGCGTAGCGAACAGCAAACGGCCACAGAAAATGGGGTGCACCGGCATGGATCATGGAGGTACGAGCCACCTCCATGACCAAACCGATGCGTTGCTCAGCGACCCCATTCTGCTGCAGGGAGTCCGGCAAGGTGAACGTCTGGGTGATGCCCTCCGCACGACAGAAACGACCAAGGACACCAGAGGCAAACTCGCCACCACGGTCGGAGTGGAGACGCAAGACAGGGAGACCGCGGTGGACACGCGCAGAGACAAGCCACGGGATGAGAACGTCAGGCACGTGGGCCTTCCGCTCCAGGGGAAACACCGTGGTGTAGCGCGTGTAGTCGTCGACAAGCACTAGGAAGTAGCACTCTCAACGCGGCCCATGGACGGGGGCGGGGCCCCAGACGTCCATGTGCAGAGTCTGTAGCGGTGCGGCGGTAGGGGGGATCGAGAAGGAGTGAGGGGCATGGCAGAGCCGGCCCTCGACACAGGGCGTGCACGATGGTGCTGGGCAGGAGGGCAACTCGGGGAACGACCCTAGGAGACCTAGGACAAGACCGTGCTGTGACATGTGACGAAGACGCTGGGGTGCGGGGTGATCTAGACGATGGTGCCACAGGAGTGTCAGGTGAGTGAGCGATCGACAGGAGCAGCCCGCAGCAATATGGGTAGACGCAGCCACCTGAGAAGACGTCCCAACCAGGGGGGTCGCAGTGTCCAGTGTGAACAGGCCGGACACCGGGTCCCGGGGGAACGTGGTGAGGGGGGCACCAGTGGCAGCCTCGGTACAGACCGCGTACCGCTCGTGACCAGGGAACGTAGTGATGACGCCAAGGTCCTGGAGGCAGCCGACACCAACTAGGTTCCTGGAGAACGAGGGGATATGCATGCATGTAAGAGAGCCCGAAGGAACCACCGGACAGGGAAGGGTGGTGGTACTGCGAGCGACTACTAGGCCGGAGGAGGGGTCGGCAAGAGAAACTGCAGCAGGAGTAGCAAGAGGCGTCAGCGTAGTGGAGTCGCGGAAGAAACATCGAGAAGCGCCAGAGTTGAGGGTGAAGGAGAGCGCAGCAGTGGCGTCTGAAGTCGGAGCAACGACAGTAAAACCTAAGCTAAACAAAGCACGGGATCCTACGCCTGACGCAGCAGGGGAGGCACAACTAGACATGCCTAAACTAGGCAACAAGGGGTAGTAAGAAGCAATCACACTAGATTCATCAGCATACATTACATGCAAGGCAGCAACAATCTCATCCATGTCCATATCAAAGATCTGAACGCTACGGCGAAGAAAGCTATGCCAGCCGGGGAGGTCGGGCGACGGGCCGCAGCGCTGACGAAACCGGTCGTCCAGGTGACGGAAACAGCGGATGGAGGTGTGTCCGAGCTTACCGCAAACAAAACCACAGCGAGGACGGGTCTGGAGCTGGTACTGATAGTGCACGTCACCCGAACCGCCACCCGACAGCCCACCACGCGCATGACCACCACGTCCACCGCCACCACGAGCGCCAGGCCACCCGAGCGGGAGACCATTCGCCCGCCTCTGCTGCTGCGGCTGCTGCGGCTCGTGCGTGCCCGGCTGCGACACCTGCGGCTGCTGAGACGGCTGCTCGGCTTCACCTGTCAGGGTCCCCTCGTCAGCGCTACAACTAGGTGACCCGACTCCACCACCACTTCCAGCTGCATCGCCACCCCCACTGCCGTGCCCAGCCTTGGGGCGGCGGCCCTTCCCGGAACGGATTTGCGCTGTAGCTGCAGACTTAGCCATAGCAGCAGAACCGTCAGAGAAGGTGCACAGAGCGAGGGCACAACCCTGAAAGATAGGGACCGTCACAGTACCGCTGGTCTGGGCGATAGAGCGCTGGCGGGTCTCTATGGCAGTTAGGGTGTCGACAAAGTCAGTGAGGGTGAGGCCACCGGGGTGGATGCTAAGGAAGTGGTCGCGGGCAGTAGCAAGACGAATAGGGAGGCGGGTGGCAAGCAGGTAGAGGGTAGAGCAGAGGGGTGGCTGAAAGGCTCTAAGCTGGGGCTCAGTGCAGGCAGCACGCCAGGTCGCGTCTATCGTGCGCAGGTGAGCAGCGAGATCAGCGACAGTAGGGAACGACGCAAGGTCAGGGAAGAGCATCGGTAGGATCAGGCGGCCTACAGAGGCAGCGGGCGGGGTGGAATAGCGCTTAACGTCGGCATCTAGAAACTCCTGCGCAGTCGTGACTGACCTAAAGCGTGGGCGCTCAAACAGGGGGAGGGCATGACTGATCGCAAGCTGCGCGACAGCGTCACGTGATAGCCAAACTGAGCGGGCAAGGGCAGCAGCTGCGGCGGACTCACGGTCAGCGGACGAGGGGTCAGCGGGCAGGGGAGCAGGGGGGTCAGGGCAAGGGAGTGTACCGTCAAGGTGGACCACCAGGGAGTGGCTGTCCTGCCGCTGACCAGTGAGATGACGCCGGAGGTCGACCAGCCACGTGTCAAACTCGAGCGGCTGTCCCTCTGCGTCAAAGCGGATCACGGAGTCCGCCATCAGGAGCGATGCAGCAGCGGCGCTGAGCTGTGCAGTGCAGAGCGGTGCTGTGCGGTGCTGTGCGGTGCCGAGCTGTGCGGTGCTGTGCGGTGCCGAGCGGTGCTGAGCGGTGCAGGACGGGCACGAGGGCCAGCTCGGACAGGCGTGAGGGCCAGCTAGGACGGGGCGCGACGGCTCAGGGGGCCGGCTAGGAACGGGCGCGACGGCTCATGGGGCCGGCTAGGACGGGCGCGACGGCTCAGGGGGGCGGCTAGGAACAGGCACGACGGCTCAGGAGGCCGGCTAGGACGGGCGCAACGGGGCGGCAGAAACGAGCGCGTGACTAGCTAGGGGCGGCGCGACGAGGGCCTAGAGCGGAAGCGTGAGCGGCGGGACCTACCTACCAAGCGTGATACAACCTTAGCGTAGAAAACGAATGTCGAGAGAAAACAGTACAAGGGTATACATACGTGTTGTACCCTCTAAGATACGAACCTATACAGTCTATACGAACATAAAATATATATGTTTGACACAGACGTTCGGGCTGCCCTACCATCGCAGGTGAACGCTCCTCGCCTCATGCGATGCTTTCGCTTCCCCGCTTATCTTCGTGGATTCTTTAGCCGTGTTTCTGGTTGGATGCTGCATTTTTGTTCCCCCGCACACCAATCGCTTTTTAGAATGCAAGAATAAATTACTAGGTGGAGATTACAGCACATATAGCAGTTGGGGTTGTACTAACTAGGAACACACAACTACACTACCCTAGAACTTCTACCTGCAACACATGTATAAGTTGACACAACCCCTAGGCTAGAGGAGGGGTGGTGCTAAGTAATAAGCACACAGCTCAGGGCGGCACTACTAGTCCAACCACTGAGACAGGGGTCCAGAGACCAGTCAACAGGAGTACAGACAAGACAAGAGCAAGCCAGGGCGGAACTACTAGTCCAGCCACTGGAAAAAAGGCCAAAAGGTCAATCTCACAGATATATATAGTAAAGAGTACACAATCAAGGTCCTAGCAAGAGAGTAGCTACAGGAACAAGACCAAGCTGTACACAGTGCCGCTGATGATCTTTTGGCGCAAGTGCCTTAGTAAAGATATCAGCTGTGTTGGCACCGGAGGCCAAGTGAACTACGCGGGCCTGGCGACGCTGCTGTAGCTCGCGCATGAGGAAGTACCGTAGCTGGATATGCTTCGCTCTGCCTTCAAGTTGAGGCTCCTGACACAACCCTGTTGTCAGCATACAGGACCGGGGCAGAGCTAGGCTTCTCACCTTAGTCATTGAGCAAGAAGGTCAGCCATCAGAGCTCCTGTGCTGCCATGGCACCAGCGTAGATCTCAGCCTCACAACTAGACTGAGCCACAGACGACGAGCGAGTAGACCGCCACGAGATAGCACCGGACCCAAGGCTAAAGCAGT